CAAGACACCGAACCTGGCCCGGCTTTTATGGATTATTTTTGGAGAAGGGCAGGTGTTTCTAGGGCCCGTCAGAGATTCCGAATTCCCGTTTAGAAATCAGAGGGGAACGAGGGGGCCTTTGGGGCAGCGTCTGGGGGGCGAGGCGATGGCGTGGCGCTGGGAGGAGGCACTTCTCGTACGAGAATGTGCACGGTGGCCTCTGGCGACCGATGGTACTGGGAAGGGAGGCCCTGCGTTTCCGCCGAGGGTGTGCCGGCCCTGAAAGCCCCCGTGCCCACCCCCTCGGTGCGACGCCCTCTGGGCAGTCCTCGAGCAGACTCCGTGGTCTCTGGTGTCCCGGAGTCATTCAGGACCCAGCCCACAGGGCGAGTGTTGGGCGGCTGGTGTTCTTAGCTATGGTGTCACGTCCCCAGTGACGACCCCAGAGGGTGCCCGTTAGTACACAAACTCCCACAGGTGACTGTTCGGCATCAGGGTCCTCGAGTTGAGACTCAGTCCCGTGTCAGCAGCGCTTCCGCGGGTAGGTGCTGCGCCCTCAGCCTGGCCCCCGTGTCCAGCGTGCCGGGGCTGTCACCAAGCCAGCAGGGTCGGCTCTGGCTCACGGGCAGCGGGCTCCCTGTGCACGTCACCAGCGGTCCCTTTTCTGGACTGTGCCACTGTGACCCCGGGTCCGTGTCTCTGTTCACTTTGCCAGGGCTACGGGGACCACAAACCCAAGTCCTCCACCGCGGCTCAAGAGGTGAAGACGCTGGACGGCATTTTCACAGAGCAGGTGAGCCAGGGCCCTGGGCCAGCAGCAGAGCCAAGAGGTGCCTGCCCGCGCCTGCCTTTCCCTGCTCCTGGGCTCGTGAGCCCGCTGCAAGCTGGTCTCCCCAGGTCTCCCCTGCTGCGTCTCACTGGGGGTGTTGGTGGTGACGGCCATCAGAAGGCGCAGCACAGGGCAAGCCAGCCAGACTCGGTAGCCGTTCTCACCCCAGGTGACACTGGCCACCGTCCAGCTCCCAAGGATTTGTCATGGGGACAAAGGCTTCACTCACATCTGCTCCGAACCTTCAGCTGAGACGACACACTGTTAGGCTGTGGGGCGGTGGGGGGAAGCGGGGTGAGGCCCCTGCTTCTCTGTCCACTGGGTGCCCCGCCCTGCCTGCCCCAGTCTGCCGACGCACAGCTGGGCGCTGGGCCCTGGGCCCTCACACCAGGCGGGGTGGTCCGGGGAGGCCCAGGCAGCAGGATCTCCACGGCCCGGCTGCTCTCTGCTGACAGCGTTGAATCCCTGCTTGGTGGCAGCCTGGGACACTCCAGCTCATAGGGCGCGGGGTCCAGGGTCGGCCCGGTCCTGCCTGGGCCGACCGGTGGCTTGTTGTCCACTCCTGGCACCTCCAGCGCTGGTTCCCCCCCGCAGGTGGCCATGGGCTACGCACACTCTCTGGTGATAGCCCGGGACGAAAGCGAGACCGAGAAGGAGAAGATCAAGAAACTGCCAGAATACAACCCCCGGACCCTCTGATGGCCCTGGAGCCCCCCGCGGCTCCACACCCCCCGCGGCAGCTGTCAGTTCCACGCGCACTGGGACGGGACGTCGGACAAGGAATTGAAGAAAACAAAAGTTGACCGAAGGTGCATTTTCGTTAGACTCCCTGAGGTTCCGTTTTATAAGTGATTCAACATCAACTACCTTTTCTGTATGCTTTCCAAAGTGGTTTTTTTTTTTCCCTCCTAACGTTTAATTAAAGTGTTTGCTCATAGTTGACTTAACCATTCCTACAAAGAGGCAGAAACTTTGAGCAACCCAGGTATTTGTTTTTTTTTTTTCCTTCAAGTCATTTTTCTTTTTTCTTCCTGCTCCTAAATACACTTCTCAGAACAGCCCTTTCCAGTCGTGACTAGCGTTGTGATCCGAGCGGGCGCTCCCTGGGAGAGGAGTCCCCGTGGACTCAGAAGGTTATGTCCCTTCTGGGAACCGGCAGCAGCCGGACAGAGACAGTCGTGGTGGCGGATCTCCATCCAAAATCACGCCCGCCTGCTTCGGGAGCATCTGGGTCACTTTCTTTCCCGCTTCTTGCGGCCCAGCTGAGGCTGGCCTTCTGTTTCTCCCCCTGGCTGCTTAGACGCCCCACCGCCTTTTGGCTGCAACATTACTAGAATCTGTCGTGTCCCCCCTGGTGGGGGCTCTGGGGTCTGTGTTTAGCCATTTTTATCTACTTTAGCTGTAAACGAAGTCCAAATGAAAATCAGGTGACTGTGGACCCGTTGGGGACTTGGGGGGCGGGCAGACGTGGGGACAATGTGTCTGGGTCAGGGGCAGCCCTGGGGCTCCTCTGAGGAGCAGGGGCCACCCCGCCCGCACTCGCCATTAGAGATTGATCAGCCAGCAGCTTAAAAAAAAAAAGTGCATTCTGGAGTCCTTGCAAGGAAGGCTCAGCCCTTTCCGTACCAGCCTTTATCACCTCTGTGCTTCTGTCTGTACCCCCGCCGGATCCTGCTGGAACGGGCCCTGGTTCCGAGACGTGGGGTCCGGCTCTGCTCACCCAGCTCTCTGGTCGCATCGCTTGGCTGTGGTACCAAATAGTTGGGATTGCTGAAGCAGCCCCCCTTCCCCGCGCCAGCGCACATCTGTGATTGCCACCCGATGCCCGCCACCTGCCCTCTGCCCGAGCTCGTCACCGGCGTTGCGCTGCTCTGCGTGAGTTACGAGGTGCCTTTCCCGGACCCCTCCGCTCACTAGGACCCAGGAGAGGCGACAGCTCTGGCTGGGGCTCTTGGTTTCGAGAGGGTCTGGACTGGTTTGGGTGCTTTAAAATAGATTTTTTAGTTCCGTGGTGCTTCTGGGGGAGATGGGGTTAGAACTTCGTGTGATACTTGGGTGGATGGGAAAGTTCAATATTGGTCTCTTTTTTATTCTTTGCTTTGCTGTTGTTACCACTTGTCATTGTCTCGATGTTAAAATGCCAAAAATGATCTAGTTGTTGTTGCTTTTTTCCCTGCCCGCCCCCCCCTCCCCCGTCACGCCTTCCAAGGCACGTGACAGGATCTGTCCTGGCCGGTCCCAAGGCCGCGCGAGGAGGGCGGCCCGCGTCTTCCTAAGGTTTAGTCTGACTCCACACTCGTCTTTGCTGTCCTTTGTCTAGTCCAGGGGAGGAGCTTCTGCTAAACTAACCTGATTTGTCCAAATCACCCCCAAAGCCACCCTCTGGGGCTCTCACTTCCGTGCAGGGATCCCATCCGTTCTCCTGGACGCAAGCCTCTTTCCTGGAACGGGGCTTCGGCGCACGCGCCCCTCGTCCCCTGGAGCTGCCCTTGGTCGCGCGGAGCTCTGACCCTCCAGGGGACTAGCTTGAAACCCGCCACCAGCCTAGGTCGGGGCGGGCCCCTCGCCCGGAGACTAGAGCAGCATAGGCACGGGGCTCCCACGTGAAGACGGCCCTCTTCTCTGCCACAATCACTCCTTTTGGCTTAGAATTTTAAAATGAACTTCCTAAAGGGGAAAGGTCCTCCAGGACAAGGAATTGGGGGGGTGGTCCCGCACTCCAAGAGAAGACAGGGGGCCCGGGCCCAGGCTGAGCAAGTACTTGGCGCCAACCCTTCGGGCACTGGACTCCCCTTCCAGCTCTGGAAGAGGGGTTCAGGGCAAAGGGGAGAACACAGAAGAGGTTGTGATTTGGTTGAAGGTGCCTGGTTTAGTGCTGTAATTGTCTTTTTTTATATATATATTTCTTGGAGTAAACATTTTAAATAAACGACATCATTGTTTACTCTGTTTTGGCTTTTGTGCTTCTTTTTCAGTAGAACCAGCATAAGACATAAAAACAGCAATTCCCATTTTTCCCAGCTCCCTGCAGGCACCTCCCACCTGCTGCCCACGCCGAGGCTCCCCCGGGAAAACCGGGCTTCAGGGGAGCCCAGATCAGTGTCTGGGGTTGAAGGTGAGTGGAGCTCCAACTCCCTCTGAAACCTGTGACCGCGGGAGGGCTCCTCCTTCACGGGCCCAACTCCGAAAGGGGGTTGGGTTTGCGACACTGAGGCTTCAAGGGTAGACGGTCAGGCATGGAAAAGCACTGAACGGTGGTAGGTCTTGGGTGCCCAAGAAGCCCGTATCCTCATTCTCCATCTTTTCCCACCAACCCTTCCAAGGGGAGCCTAAGCCCTCGGGTCACTTAAGCCCTGGTCACAGGTGCTCTGGGCCCACCAGGGGCCACTGCAGAGCCAGTCCCGGGTGTTCAGAAGCCCCAGGCACCAGGCCCGGTCGGTCAGGGTTGACCCACTGCCTTTGCTCCCAGGCCGCTGCTCCTCCCTAGCATCTGGCAGCCATCATGGTGGCACCTCTGGGGTGATGGCTGTCCCAGGTCTTCAGACCAGCACCCCCTTCAGTGGAGCTCCCCAGCAGCAGCAGGAGGGGCAGGGTGGGAGCAGCAGGGAGCAGGTCTTGTTAACCTCAGAGGCACTCCAGCAACACCCTGTCCCATCAGCTTGGGTTGGCAGGCACGTGGAAGCTGGCATCTTTGGGTCCCAGGCAGGGAGGGGGGGCAGTTTCTCTCCTGGAGACTTGAGAGACCTTCACAAAAGTCCAGCCCATCCCTCCCAGCCCGGCCTGCCCTTGCGGAGTCTTGTCCCTCAGACCACAGAGCTTCCAGAGCCTTTCCCCGCACGTGGTACAAGGTTTCCCCCACCACAGCTCCCAGCAGGCCAACAGTGAGCCCTCCTTCCCCTCGAGCCTGGACACCATCACCCTCAGCACAAGGGTGTAGACCCAGACCCAGCTCGTTCTAGGGGCTTGAACTAGGGAAAACCTGAAATTCTCCGAGGCCAGCCATGTCCCACCAGGGACAGGGATGAGGGAGGGAGGGAGGGAGGGAGGGCAGCCTGACTGCAGGAGTCAGCTGGAGTTTAGCTAGTACCCACCCCACCCCCACCCTCCAAGCAAGGCAGCTGCTGCCAAAATGCATTCAGAACAGCTCGAACTTTAATGGACACTCGGTAACCCCTTCTTGGCTGAAGGCCGTTTGAGGAGGTTCCCACGGGCAGCATTTGCCACCCTCAGGACACAGGGACAGGTACACAGGGTGAGGCAGGGAACCCGAATGCTGCGGAGTGGCGATCAGTGGGCCGCTCGCGCCGGGCCAGGACTGGCGGCACTAGGCCTGGGGCTCGGGCACCATCCTCCACCATTTGAAGGCAAAGGGCACCCGGCGGATGTTGGCACAGGCACAGAAATCCCCGATTTCGGTCAGGTAGCAGTCAAAGTCATCGATGAAGGTGCACTTGAAGCCCAGGGGCTCGAGCAACTGGCAGATTTTTTCTTCCAGGCAGCAGGTACCCTTGATCTGGGGCCCAAAAGGCTTGGGGATGCCCAGATTCTTGCCCATCACAATCATCTGCAGCTGGCACACAGGATGGGCAAGGCCGAGGTAGGGGTCAGAGCCATGGAAGACAGCCTCCTCACCCCACCCCGTCCCTCCTGTCGGTGCCATTGGGTCCGACCCAAGGGGAAGCGCAGCTGCCTGTGTTCAGGCTTGGCCGCAAGCAGTTTCTCTAGACTGTCCCTGCAGACACCGCCAGTCAACCGCAGCAAGATCCAGCTCACTTTTGCTTAACCTTCCCCTGGCTCGGACCTGTTTCAGCAACACCGAAATCCTGTTGGGCCAAGGTCTGGCTCTGCAGACCTCCGGGGTCCCTTGTTCTACTGCTCTTCTCTTGCTCTGGACAGGAAGTTTCTTTTACACTGTAACCCAGGTGCCTCTACTGGGATGCCCTCCCCCCTCCCCAGCTGTCGGTTGATCTCCATCCATTTCTCAATTCCAGCCTCTAGTTCCTCAAAGACGTTTCCCCCATTGCTACGCACGCGGGCTCCCAGGGCCTGTGTCGTGCCCAGAGGGCCCTCTGGCCTCCTAGAATTAAAAGCCACCCATATGTGACCAATGCTGTAGGGCCTGTGTGCCTGGGACTCAGAAGAGGGTAAGCAGCACCCCCATCCATGAGGTGGGCCCATAGCATTCCCTCTAGGTTGGGATGAGCCCAGGGCCTGGCTAGTCACCCAGCCTGGCACCTGCTGGCCTGTGCCCTGTAGCAGTGTTCCCCTCCCTGGGAGGGAGAGAAGCTTCCATCTCCCTTCCTCCCAGGCACTCCTGCCTGCTATGCCCGAGCCTCGAGCCCAGCATCACGGAGGTCCGGAGACCAGCCAGGGTTGGCACAGCAGCCCCCCGCGCCACCCCTGCGCGCCTCACCAGGTCAGGGAAGTAGGGCCTCGCGAAGAACTTGCCGGTCTGCTCGCTGGAGGGCACGTTGGTCAGCTGCTCCAGGCAGAAGAGCTGCGGGATGTCGATGATGTCCCTCTCAACCAGGCCCAGCTCCTTCTTCAGGATGTCGCGGTTCAGGTTGATGCACTTCTGCGGGGCGGGGAGACGGGAGTTGGCGGGGCACGGGGGGCGACCGCCTCCATCACTCCCCGCAGACGGGCAGCCCGCCCTCTGATAAAGCGCACAGGGTCTGTCCAGGGGGAGCGGGGCTCAGGAGAGGCCGGGACCTCACCGCTGGTCTGTGCGGGGCAGCAGCCAGTTTGATGCCACTGCAGCGTGGGCGTTGTTTTGCCCTTGAGCCTGGCCAGGGTGGAGGACCCGGGCGAGGGCAGGGTGGGAAGAGTCCTCAGGAGGCACCCTGCTTCCTTCCTTAGGGACGTGAGCAGTTGCCCCACCTTGGGGCACGCTCCTGCTCGGACCACCTATTTCCCGGGTCTTGACAAAGGGCTCACGACCTCCACCCTCAGGAGTCACCGGGGCTGAGGTGCTATATTGACCCCATACCTGGCCAGCACCCACCCTGCTGTACCCAGAGGCCATCCATGTTCAGCAAAGGTCAGCACCCTGACACCGAGGCACAGCACACCCCCCTCAGCTTGGAGCCCTAAGGTCCCCATCAGCAAAGTTGTTTGTGCTGACCCCGTGACCTTGGACAAGTCCTTGCCCTTTTCCAGACTTCCACTTCTTCCCTGGAAGTTGGAGGATCTCTTCTGGGAATAACTGCTCCCAGCCAGTGGTTCATGGGGTGAGGCCCGAGGTGCTGGCTGGCCCCGAACACAGCTCGTGGGCCACTTCAGGAAGCATCTGGACGATGCTCGCACTTGGAGCTTCTTGGGGGGAGTGGGGCCCTCTGTTTTCTGGTCCAACGCCAGGCAACTTGAGGGACACAGCGCCTGTCTTTAGGGGTCAGCTTGGGATCACACCCAGTTCTCCCCACGGACAGTTAGGCTCACACCTGGGCACTAAGCCTCACTATCCTCCTGTGCTTCGGGGGCTGAGCTCGGGGATCACGGAGCTGTCATGATGCCTGGGCTAGAGCCCTTGCCAATTAGGACCTCCTCCCCCCACTCCTTTGCGGAAGGTCCCTCACACCCTTGGCCCCTACCTCTACGTAGTTGTTCTGCTTTCTCATGTTTTCGTCAGCCAGAAGCTGATTGATGGTGTTGGCCTCCCGCCCTGTAGGGAGAAGGAGGGTGGGAGGGCAGTAAGGCCAGGGAGTGGGGCCGCCCGGGCCCAGGCTGACCCCCCAGGGCACAGCCCACTGGGTGTATTGCTGCTCCTCTGTCTGACGGGCGACCTGGCCAGTCTCCAGTGACCTACTCAGGTCACCTGTCACATCTGGGGACTGACATACATCAGGGCCCTTATTAGACCCCAGGGAAGACTTTCACTGCCACCCGCCTCTCTGGCCCTGGTAGGAGGGGAAGCAGCCTGGAACGAGTCAGCAGGTGCCTCCCACCTGCACTCACGTCTCCTGGGCAGCGCTGTGCATCATTTGACCCAAACAACCCAGCCACCTTCTACGGGGGACCTTGACTAGATTATTTATTCCTCCAGTTGCTCCATCTTTGAGACAGGGACCAGCTCACGCCCCAGCTGACGTCACACAGTCTTTGGCATGTGGGGTGTGATACTTGGTTCGTGCTCAGTAAATGTCACCTTCTGGAAGTGCTTCTGGGACCCATGTGATTCCTGGGCCCCGCCCCAAAGGTTGATTCACCAGGTCTGGCGTGGGGCTGAAATATTGTGTTTCCAACAAGCTTCCCAGAGACGCTGAAGCTGCACTTTGTGTAGCATGGGTCTAGAGAACTTCCCAGCAGCCCCTCTCTGGGGACCCACGGAGTTTCAAACAGAATGACTGTGCCCCAGCCAGCCGTACAGTCTTTGCCTGTCCACCTAGGTTTTCCACGTGGGTGACCTGGGGACCCCTGAAGTCCCAAAGCCCAGGCACCTGACTCCACATTTCCTGAGTAGACAGACGTGAGTGTTGGTAGCACCTGGTTTTGTCGCAACTCCCCCCACCCCACCCCCACCCGCCCGCCACGGAGCCGCCGCCTCATGCGCTCGGCCACCTCTCTGCCACCCTAGAACTTCTGATTGGCCTGGGCGGCCCTAGCGCTGCTGGAATAGCCCCGACCCAGAACAAGCTGTGCTCATGTGCTACACGTTAGGCTTTGATGCTTCCCTGGGATTCTTTGAACCAGGAGGAACAAAGGAGAAGCGGCCCTCTAGCAAGGACACCCTGGAAAGGAGGAGCTGGCCTCTGCTCCAGCGCCGGGGGCTTTCCTCACCGTTAGAAAGGAGCTGGTCCTCCCGGACCTCTTCAAACAGAGCCATGTCCCCATAGCCCTCCTTCTGTTTCTCCTCGAACAGTCTGTAGCAGGAGCTGGGGCTGGCCAGTAGCAGCCGGAAGCCCTGGGGAGCAGCTCGGGTCAGATGCAAGCTTCCTCTCCAGAAGCTTCTAAGGAGTTTGAAAAGGTGGAAGACACCCTCCCTCTCCCCCACCCCCCCCCCACCCCCTCCAGACCTTTTCACCCTCACTCTTGTCCTGTGTGGGGATGAAGCACATGAACTCATCCATGTGGCCCACCATCAGCCAGTCCGAGAAGAGCTCCACCGGGGCCTGGACTCGCTGGGCGTAGAGGAAGTCCCGGAGGGCCTTGCTCATGTCTCTGCCCTCCTTGCTAAGGGGAAGACGGAACAAACAGCCCTCGAGCCGACATGGTGTGTGTTGGCGGCCACCTGCTCGGGGGTCAGGCTCCCTTCAGCTAACTGGCTGCTCTAACCCTTGGGCCCAGGTGCCCAGTCCATAAAGGAGGGGGTGGCTAAGAATCCCTTCCCCCTGGCCAAGCCAAGGGGTTCTAGCTAGATCAGTTCTGAGCCCTGGGATGCAAGGAGCTCTTGGCTTTGGATTAACAACCACCCAGAAGTCCACACACCTCGTAGAAATAAGCTCCTGCTGGCCACTAGGCCACTCACCTTTAACATCCCTCCGATCTAAACCCTGGAATTGCCACTCAACAGGATGAGCCGTTTGTCTGCTTTTTCTATCTATAATCTCCCACAACAAAGACTCAAAAATCCTCTCTTGGCAGTTTAGAGAATGATCCAGAGCAGATGACCTGCTGAGTCATGTGCAAGTCAGGTGGAGCCAGAGGAGTTACCAGGTCCCTTTAGTGTTAGGGCAGCTGGCCACCACCTGGCCTCTTGCCTCACCTGGGGTAAAAGCAGCTGCCAATGAGGATCCTGCCTAGGGGGTACTCTTTCCCTTCCACCTTGACAGGTGGGGACACCATCAGGTTCCCAATGGAATCCATGCTGGCCACCCTGTGGTCCTTGGTGCACTGGATCACGTAGCCAACCCCGGGGCTCTGGAAGACGACGCAGTGTGGCGGGTGGGGGTGGGGGGGTAGGGTAGGTTAGGAAGGATGGGCGTTCAGCCCCAGGCTCATCGCTAATCCAGACTCTCAGAGTCCCACACCCCCTGCCCCCAGAGGCCCCTCGGGCCCTCCCCCGCTTGGCACCCCATCCCTTCTGGGCAGGTGGGATGGGGTCTGATCGATCGGCCACACTGAGCCCCACACCAGTGAGTATTTCATGGGGAAGTCTTCCAGCGTGAGGACCCGAGGGGTGTCCAGGACCAAGGAGAGCGTCTTGTGGGGCGCCTGGGTGTAACAGAAGGCCATCTCGTCCTGGAGGAGACAGGAGGAGGAGTTGAGTCCCCTTGCTCTACCGGCTGCTTTCCTGCCCGGGTCTGGCTTGCCAGTCCCAACACTCCCTGCACACAGGCCGCCTCCAAGGGGCGGGGGGCACAAGGAACCCCCATCTGCCAACTCCTGCTTGGGCCTTGAACCTCAGCTGGACATCCCCCTTTCTTTGGGGGCTCTTCCAGACCCTTCTCTGCATCACGTTTAAAACCTGGGTCACCTAGATCCTCCCCGCTCTTCGCCTCTGCACCCCGTCCACACACAAGCCTCAGCGTCTTCAGGTGGCAGGTGGACTCCTCCCTGAAGCCAGCCCGGGCCTTCCCCAGATGCTGCGGGGCCCCTACAACCAGTTCACTCGGACTCTTGCCCCTTCCTAAGACCACTTCTCTAGTTCTCAGCCAGAGGGGGCCCTTTAAAAACCGAAGTCAGAACATTTCACTCTGAATTCTCACCTTTCGACGTCATCCCACCTTGTGAACTCGTGTCTAGTCCTTACCTTGACTTAAAAAGGTCTCTAGTATAGGATCTGGCTCTTTCCTACCTCTGGCCTTTCTGCTCTGACCTGGCCACACAGCCCTTCCGTTCTTCTGCTCCTCCGAGCACACTCCCACCCCCTCACCCCATCGGGGTCTTCCCATCAGCCGCGCTCCTACACGAAGAGCTCTAATATCTCATGTGGCACCTACCCCCAATCTTCGCGTGGCCAGCTGGGTTTCCTGAAGTTGAAGGTTTTCCTGACCACCCAAAACTGCCTAGTCTGGGCTAGAGACTCACTATGGCATCTTGCTTTCCCAGAGCTTAGAGCCCTGTGTCCTTGCTAGTATAGGAGCACGATCTGTCCCATCGTCCTCTACCTCCAGGACGTAGAATGGTGGCCAGTGTACAGTCCTCACTCAGCCACCGGGGGAGAGGGGAGCACCAGACCTCAGGGCTCCAGCAGTCGGCCCGGGGGTGAAGGTACCAGACTGTTAGCACCTAGGTATTCTGTGGTCTCGAACACACACATCGTGGAATGGAAGGAAGTTGGACCCTAAGCTATCCCTTAGTGGCTAGGACTTGGGCACATCATTCCGTGAGTCCTTGCTAAAGTCCTAGGAACAGACCCCCTCTAGTTAGTCTGAGCTTTGCTGGGCAGGTGGAGTGGTCACATGAAGCTGGTCTGAGGTGCCACATGCAAGTCTCCCAGCCCCTCCCCAACAGGTGGGTTTACCTGGAGCCACCTGCCCAGGCGGTTGGGGTCCTCATAGACAGATGCCACCTGGCTGTTACTCTTCTCGCTCAGCTCCATCACCGTGTTCACAAAACCCTGGACCTGCAGCTCTCTGCCACAGGAGAGACGCCAACTGTGGGGAGGCCCTCGAGGCTCCCTCCACCCCGTCATGGCCTCACTCTCCCAGGGGTGGGACACCACCTTCTGGGCAAGAGAGATTATGCCCCTAGCCCCGAGGTAAGCAGAGCTGCTATCCCCCCCCCCCCCCCACCTCTTGGAGCACAAGCTGGTTCCTCGATTGGGTCTCACTCAGCGGCACCCAGCTCATGCAGTCAGGTCAAGGGTTACCAGTATCCATCCTCAAGAGCTTGCTTTGTCCCTGTCCTGCTGTCCCTCCCCCTGTGTGCCTCCCAGCCCCGCCCCAAGCTCTCCCACACCTCAGTCTACCCAGAGGGCGGACTTCTACCCGGAAGGAGCTATAGTTTTCTCCCAAGAAGCCAAGAAGCCAAGCAGCCAAGCAACCCCGCCATGGGAGGCCAACAAGGTTGCCACGTTTGTGTGGTTGATGGGGAGGTAGGTCTTGGACGCTGGGATCGTAGTGCTGTCGTGCACAGCCACATGGGACCAGGACGCACAGCTGTTCCTTGCTGGGGATAAACAGTAATGTTTGAGGTAGACATTAAGACCGCTCATTTTATAAACAGATCCTTGGGACGCCTGGGTGGCTCAGGGAGTGATCCTGGAGTCTCGGGATCAAGTCCCGCATCAGGCTCCTTGCAGGGAGGCTGCTTCTCCCTCTGCCTGTGTGGGTCTCTCATGAATAAATGAATAAAATCTTAAACAGATCCTCACAAGCTGAATGCCAGCGAGGTCACTGTTGGGAAGCGCCAAAATGGAGATTCTAGTCTGGTTCCACGTCCAAGACTTCCATCGTTATTCTGTGGCCCCAAAGAACCAACCGATCTCTCTGGTCAACAGACAAGGCTGCCGGTAGCTGACCGGGCTGACCAGGTCTGGAACAGTCTGAGGACATGTGCTGGGGGAAGGGCGGGTGGCCCCAGGCTGGCAGCCACGCTGGGTCAAGCTGTGCCTGCAGGCCACCCTCTAGGGGAGAGTCTTAGAAGGCCAGGCTTTCAGCAGATGCCTCTTATGAGCGAGCTTTGATCTTCAGATACAAAAGACAAAGTAGAAAGATCTGGTGTCTGGGTATCTTATCAGCAAAATCCCTGGAGCTCTTTCACTTTTTAGCCTGGCCTTCCTCCGGGGTCCCTTCTGGAAGCCCTCTCCCACGGAAGGGCTAAGCTTTCTTCCATCCCCACCGGGCCTGGAAAAAGGACCGTCGCCCCTCGCCATGAGGCACTGCTCGGGGCACTTGCACTTCCTCCAAGCTCTCCATCTGGCATCTGGTTCCACCCCCTCCCAGTTCCCCCTTCACTGGGACCTCTGGTCCTCAGCTGCTGTCCCCCCAGCTTTCTGCTTCTTGGCCTTCCTCTTTCCCTTGGCTTGGAACCTAGGATCGTCATCCTTGTTCTATGCTTGCCCACGCGCTTGGGGTGACTCGCTTGGCAGAGCCCAGGCCTGGTTAGTCCAGTTCCACGTTTCTTCCCTAGAACTCGAGTTACTGAGACTAGCTGGAGAAGAGCCGCTGGTGACAACGGGAACTGGTCCTAGCCCCCGACAGCTGTCGTCCTAGCACATCCCTCGTCCTTTTGCTCTGCTCTCCCTCCTGGGCTGCGAGTGAGTAGTCCTTGTACCTACGGACAGGACCTGTAGACACGTCCTACCAGCCTGGTTCCTGGAGCTGCCACTCCCCTCCCCTCGGATTTTTCCTGCTCTGCTGGGTCATTCCATTAGCATCGTTCTTTGCTTTCTACCTTAAAAACCAGCCTTCCCTTGGCTTCATATCCCCTTCTTGCTTCCCATTTCTTCAGAGTTTTGCAAAGTACTCCCTTTCCATTCGTCCTTCAGTGCTTCCAAACCCACCTCGTAGGATTTCTTGCTGCATGGTGCATGGCCCCTATCTTGCCAAAATCAGTGGGCATCTCGTTCTCTTGGGGTTTCACACAGCTGGCCCCCTCACCTTTGCCACTGAATCTCCCCCTCTCCTGGTTTCTAACCGAACCTCCTCTGCCTTCTTGGTTGCCTTTGCCAGATTCTCACCCAGACTAGCGTCAGGTCACCCCAGAGCTCACGGCCCAGCTGCCTTTCCTGGGTACAGTACTCCTCGCGAGCACGGCTAGGCCTGTGGCTGTGAACGTCCTCCACCTGCCAGGGACACCCAGACTCATCTGGAGCTTCCAAACTGTCCACGGAGCTCCAGAAGTTTAGAAACCCAGTGGATGCCCCCAGCTTTAAGTCACCAGGACCAGAGCACCGACTCTACCCATGTCAGCAGTGGTATCACCATCCACCTTACTGTGGACCCCAAGCCCAGGGGGCGGTCTTGTTTCCTTATAGCCCATGTGTCAGCAAACCTGGGTCAGGGGGTAGGCAGGGTCCACCCTCAGTGCACCCCTGAATCTAACCTCTGTGCTCCCACCGCCTGGCCTGAGCCACTACTGTGTCTGGCTCGCACTGTTGCAGCAGCCGAGCCGGTTCCTGCCTTCTGCTTATGCCCTGGTTTTCCAGATGGTCGGAGCGATCGTACAGACAAGGCCCTTGATGGTTTCCTGCGGGTCTTACCAGCCAGGGCCCTTTGTCCCCTTCTCCATAGGGATGTGGCCACCTAGCTAAGACGCCAGTCCTGGCTTTCCTGCCCTCAGATGTGGCCCTCTGCAGGCCGTGAGCACTTGAGAAGTAGTTCAGGAAACTTCCAGACCTCAGCAGTGACAAGTGACAGCTTTGCCCGACTTTGACACTTCTTCTTTCCCAGGGGCTGGGACTGGACGTGCTTGGGCCCAGCCTCCATCACGAAGATGAAGATGCCACCCCAGGGGCAGCCCGAGGGTTTCTTACCTGCACAGGTAGACCTCCAGAGGCATCTGGGTGCTGGGAATAAAGACGCAGGGGGCCACCCGAAACACTACCGTGTCTTTGTACACCAGGGTCTCTGGAATGGACTGCAACGGCCCCCAGGGCCCCATCAGCGAGCTGCTTCTGCCTCCCCGTCCCCCTCGTCCCCACACTCTCCCCCTCCCACGTGGGCCCCGGGCTGCTGGTCTACCTGGGGACCTACCGGGTCCTGAGGTTCTTCCACCAGGGAGACGGAGTAGGAGATCAGGCCCGAGAAGTCGGCAGACGGGAACTCGATGGCTTCCACGTAGAAGGTTTCCTTCAGGTTGTTCTCCAGGGGGGTGAACGTGTAGGTGCACTGGCCGGGCCCCAGCAGCACCTCAAAGGTGCTTGAGCTGTCTCCTGGGGACAGAGGGACGGGCCAGCTGCCGACGCAGCCCGGCGCCCGCCTGCACACCAGATACTCGGGGTGCCAGCTCCCTGCTCCGGGGAGAAGCCAGGCTGGAAGCCCCCCCGGGGAACAGGGGCCAAGCTGGCTTTCTGTCCCTGTGTTTCCAGTGTTTAGGGCTTAGTGGATAATCCACTGCTCATTCCCAAACAGGGGCCACGGCTCAGCGACGCGGCTCCCAGACCCATCCCACATTGAGGACAGGGGTTCAGATGAAGACCCCCGCCTTCCCGGCCCTCAGGCCAGGGCAAGACCCGAGGGAGGCGGATCTACGCTTGGGCCAGCTTTGGGGAGGAGATCCTAAGAAGCCTTAGAGGGGAGAAGCTACAAGGGGCGGCTTGGCAGCCTCATCTGAAAAGTCCGAGCCTGCCCGAGGAAGCGCTAGGGAGGCGTCCGTGGGAATGGCCTGTCGGACAGGGCAGGCCTCGGAGCGTTTCCTGAGAAGCCAAGGAAAGTTCCCATCAGCTGTGCGGAGCCCAGCGCTTCTTGGGGTGTGAGATACAAAACCACGCACAGAAGAGAGAAGTGACCCCACCCTGTGGTCGGATCTAGTTAATTCAGTCCCAGATCGGTTCGTTCTCCGTTCAGAGGAGGTCCTGACCCGAGGCCACTGAGCTTCCCCACTGGACCTTCCTGCCACCACCTTCCGCCTTCTGACTCCTTCCTGGTGTGGCTGCTCTACCCTGATGGCAGCTGCTCCCACTCAGAGCCTCTAGACAGCCTCCAACTCTAGGAAATCCCAGGTCTACCTCGGTCCACCCAGGCCCCGGACCATCTGGGCACTGCATCCTCTCACAGCTGGTGCCAGCAGATGGCTGCTGCAGCCACCGCCACCTCCGGGCACAGGCTCGGCTCCAGTTCACTGGCCCCTCGCTCTGGGTGAGTGCACTGTGGTGGCCCGCGTGGGGCTGTGGGTTCGTGGGTCCAGACAGCTGCTGGCTCCCAGTCACTCTGCAGGAAATCCTCAGGCACCCAGGCCTTGAAGGAGAAAAGCCGGACAAGATAGAATCTGCCACCGGAGCCCCCAAAGCTGCCCAACACAGGGACACAGCTCTTTCAACTGGCTGCGGAGGTTTGCAGCAGGTAACTTGGAGCCCTGTGGGAGTTCCCAGCTACCCAGACAGGCCTGTGCTGGCCACCACTCGACACCCCAAGAGCTGCTACCATAGGCCTAGCACCTTCCACCGCACCAGGGCCCAGGGCTCCACCCAAAGCTGACTCAGCATGGAGTGGTGGGAGGCAAGGGGGTCCCAGGTCTGCCTGGGGACCTACCGGCAGCTTCCCAGCCACTTCAGTTCTTCTGCCGTTGACTGGGGGAGGGGGGGGCTTCTCTTCTAGCTGCTGTTTAAGCTCGGCTGAAGTTTTGTTGTGCACATACTATGCGCCGGGAACCGCGGTGGAGGCCCGTGGATTCCTATGCACCTCCTCCCCACCTTGGGGGCAGAGGCTGTGACTGCCATCCCCGTTACAGGGGTGAGGAGGGAGCAAAGTACCTTGGGCCCCAGACACACTCTTCTGCCCTCATGCCTGTTCCCACTCAGCTCTCAGCTCCGCTACCTTCGAACTGTCTGTGGCTGTCTGTCCCTAGCAGGCTTGCAGAGCAGCCAGTGAACCTACCCTTGGAGCTGGAGCCCCAGAACAGAGTAAACACGGGTCGGAGCTGTGCTTTTCTCCTCCCTTCTGTGTACCGCAGGGTCTGATCCTCAATACCTCTAGCCCACTTCTTCATCCCTCGAGAATCCTAGTCCCTTGGGAAGCACATGCTAGCAGATAATGCCCCCGTCCTCCATGGACTGTTCTAGCACCGGCTCGTCTCTACCATGATTGTGGTCACTGCTTGTCACACCGTAGACCACCCATGAGCTCTCTACTTTGAGCTCATTGCAACGAGCTACAGCTCTGCGCCACCTCAGCCACGAAACTCCGTGCTCACGGCCCCGACACCCCCTCCAAGCAGGTTGTCGGCATCTCATCTTTTCAGCTCATGTACACTCCACCTGTGATGCTTAACCCCAGCCCCCACCCTGCCGACCCATCTCACCGCCCCCCCCACCCCACATGCACGCACATTCTAAGAGCCACAGCTACGCCTGCTCCCTGGCACACGTACCATCGGCTCCCACACCATGACCTCCACTCTAGTTAAGCCACATCTGCAGGGCTCTCTTGTATCTGAGCAGCCAGAGGAACCACCATGCTGAACGACCCCACTTTAGGGGGGACCAAGCCTCAGAGCCACCCTCAACCCTGCTCGGGAACACCACGGTCGTGCTGTCCGCTAGCGCACCCGCTTCCCGTGTCCCCCGGGTGGGATGGTCGCCTGTAGCTCCTGCTCTAGATGTGCTTCCTCACCCCCGCCAGATCCGGGCCACCTGCAGGGGTGCTGTGCTCTTCCTGCTTCAGACATCACCCCTCCTCCACCTCCACACGGTTCCCTCTACGGCAGAGTCCTCTCCTCTCGCTTCGCGGTGGCTTCCACCCCTACTACTCTCATCAAGTTCACAAATGACCATCATTTCGAAAAACCAAGACTTTACCATAGATTTGACTCTTCTAGCAACAGCATTGGCTACAGTCAGTCACGGCCCTCCTGAAAGGCTTCCTTTTCCTTTGTACCAGAACTTCTGCTCCGGCTTTCTAGTTCTCTGGAGTCTCCCCCCTTAGACGTCTTTGCTGTAGCTTATAGAGCAGGGATTCTCAACCTTTAGGCTGCTTCAGAATCACCTGGAGGGCTTGTGAAAACAATGTCTGTGTATCCCTGCCCTGTTTTAGAAGTTAAACATTTTTAAGAATTAAAACTCTAACCCCAACGTGGGACTCGAACCCACAGCCCTGCAATCAGCAGTCACATGCTCCACTGACTGCACCAGCCTGGCATCCGGGTGCCCTGTGTTGCCCTGTGTTCCTAAGCTGTTTTTATTTTGAAGTAATCTCTACACCCAATATGGAGCTCAAACTCATGACTCCGAGATCAAGTCACACGTTCTACCGACCTAGCCAGATGCCCTTAAGTTTTTGTTTAAAAAAAGAAAAAAGAAAAAAAGAAAAAGAAAAAAAGAAAAACAAAAAAAACCCCTGACAGCTTGGTGCAGGTGATGAAGCACAACATCTTTAGCAAGCTACACATGTCACGGCCTCTTATCTGTACACCGTGGGTCACACTGGGCCAGAGCCTCCTCGGGGCCTGAACCCGGCTTAGACCCCTCGGCTAAGGCTCGCTCCCAGCCCACATACGACCAGCCTGGGCTGCCTCACTTCCAAGTTCAGCCGTGGTCTGCAGAAGGGACGGAGCAGAAGACAAGCTAGCAGGCTGAGCACAGGCGGGGAAGCCGCCGAGGCACGCTCTCCAGTGCAGGAGATGGCGAGACGGGCACGCCATAGCGGAGCGCTCCCCAGTCGCCCAGCCGAAGCTGAACTTGGCTTTTGAGAGAAGGCACTGAATACTACACCTGGTTAGATACGCCAGAAACCAAACAAAAAGCCTTGTTCATTCAGGGAGGTTTTGCTGGACACGCCGACCTCCACTTTCTAAACCAACAGCCTTTGCGGCTTTATCTGTAGAAGGTGAACACGCCACCTGTCTCTCAGGATGACAGAGCTACAGCTGGGACGGGCAGGGTGTGGTGCGATGCCGGAGACGGACATGCCAGCGCCAAGCTGCCACTCCGCTCCTTGGCCTCCGAGTTCTGGAAACAATACGGCGGGGTCTTGGTACAGGAGCGAGATGGCCCCTTCCGGCAGGAGCAACTGGCAGAAGAGCCTGGCTGATGCGTAGGAGGCAACAGCTTCCAGCCAGCGTGGGTTTCCTCTCCCCCAGCCACGGGAATCCCGCAGGATGGGCCGCCACTACTACGGTCATCACTGTTGGGGAAAGTGGCTTGGAGGCACAGCCACTCACCCGCAGGTCTCGGCTTAGTCCGTGGAGGTGGCAGCCAGAGAGTCCCAGGGACGCAAGTGTGGCCACACCAGGCCCTGACCTGCAGCCCCAGGTGGCCTCTGAAGGGGTCCCTGCCGCCAGGAGCGATGTGGCCACTGCCGGCCCCTGGTGCATTGGGAGAGCAGGTCAAGCGGGTCAAGCCAAGAACACTCACTTTGGGGCCGATAGACTCGGGCCTTCCTCGCCTCTTCCTCGGAGGTGTGGAGAACCAGCCGGTATTTCTTTAAAGTGGCGCCGGGCCCTTGAACGTTCAGGGTCATCTGGGACAGGCTCTTTATTTCTGGACAAGAGACAAGGTGAAGGTTTAGGCGCCTCCAGCAGTGGAGGGAGGAGCTGTAGGGCGAGGGCTGGGGCTTGTATGTGGGGGCACTGGGGACCCCCCCCACCCCGTCTCCGCCCTGGCCCAGCCCCGCAACAGGTGTCTGCAGCAACAGGTGTCTGTGGCTCGCTGCCCCACGTGGCCACAGGCAACTTGCCATCTTTGGGGTCTGCTTGGAGTCAGGTCAGCATTTGCCCCATACGGCCTGGGAGAGCACCCGGCCCCCCACCCCCAAACACAGGGAACGGGGCCTGGCACGGTCAGCTCAGGGAGGGTCCCCCTCCAGCCTTGGTGTGAGCCAGGGCAGCCCCTCATGCTGTAAGGCCCAGAACCTGGGTCCCAACCACAAATGAGGACCAGATCCAACACTGCTCTCCCCAAGACAGTCGGGGGTTCCCAGCCCAGGTCACGAGGGGGTTTTTAGGAAGATGCTCACGCATCCTCCTCGTGCTTAGTCTTCTCCACTGCTTAGTGAGGCCAGCTAGATCATCCCCATTGTACAGATGGCAAAGCAAGACCCGGTAAGTGGACACGCTCAAGTCCAGAGACAGGAAGTAGTTTGTTGTCCGCCCTCAGGGCCCACACTGCTCCCATGGGGCCGCTTTCTTCCTGGTTACAAGCTCCAAGCCTCTGATGAGGGGCTGTGGGCGCAGAGGGTGGGCCTCCGCCTGGGATCCGTGTGCACCGAGTGAGGCGGCAGCAAAGCCCCGGGAGAGGCGGACCCCAGCAAGAAAAGGTGGCAACAGTCCCAGGACAGTGGCCAGTTCTTACCCTCTGGAAAGAACACCTTGGTGGTCTTCTGGTCTATGATCTGGCCCTTGTCAGTAGGGCTGCAGTTCACAAGCAGGATGGCACCCCAACCGCTAGGACCCCAGACCCAGTTTTTCTGCAAAGACAACAGGAGAGTGGATTCAGGAAGCAGCCAGATAAATCCTGCTTTCCAGAGGCCACCCCACATCGGGAGCAGAGCCAAGGCTTTCTCCAGGGTGACAGGGACCTCCTTGCCAACTCGACACCTAATAGGAGAAGGCAATGCCAGTGGAGTGGGGCACCCAGGGAATGGGTCTAGTGAGAGGGAAGAAGCTGGGTGCAGGTTGCAGCTCCCCGCCTGGTTTCAGTGCTGGGGAAGCAGGGACAGAGGTACAAGGGAGAGACCCGTCCCACCTAGGGGGCCTGTTCTGGTCGACCACGTACGACCAGGCCAGAATGGGGACCTACCATCAGATAGAGGGGTTTTTAAGGAGCTAGACATGGACTTCATCCATTCTGATCGTAGTGGAGCAATTTGACATCAAAGACACTACAGGATCCAGACAGTGTGAACCCGCGCCCTTCCCCGGGCCGCCTCACCTTGGCCTGCTTGTCACTCGCTATCTCCACCTGCCCACTGCGGTAGATGTCCACGTCCAGGGAGACCACTGAAACAAGAGGGAAAGTCTCCGCCACCCAGACCTGCTGGATGGAGCCTCGCAGCGGCAGGTAAGTCCAGCGCTGCCCAAGGCTGGATCAGGGATGCCCAGTCTTGGGGGCATGAGGTCAGCTTAGAGGAAAGCTCCTCAGAGGGGCACATGGGTGGCTCAGGCCGTTTGGCGTCGGCCTTCAGCTCGGGGTGGGATCCTGGGGTCCTGGGATGGAGCCCCTGTTGGGCTCCATGCTTGGTGGGGAGTCTGCTTCTCCCTCTGCCTCTTTTGCTCCCCCTGCTTATGTTCTCTCATTCTCAAATGAAGATTTTTTTAAAAATGTTAAGAAACAACAAAAAACTCCTCAGAGGCAGACTGCTTCTCGTGAGCAAGCCCGGAGAGGACCAAGTATCCTAGTGTCTCCCCTAACCCCCTGGGAATTCACAGAACAAGTCCACTCTGGTCCTGATGCCATCTCGTGCTCGCAGACTCCACCCAGGTGATGCCTCCCTGGAGGAGCCACCTCTTTAGCCCTCTGGGAAGCTCCTGGCACTCTAAGACTTAGGAAGGCCTCAATCCATGGCAACTCCAAGCCTCTGGGAGCTGAGGGATCCAGGTTCTGCCCAAGTATCATCAGAGGCTCCTCCTACAGTCTCTACATCCCCCCTTCCACTCCTCCGCACCGCACACTGTCCACCGTGTGGCTTTATTTTTCTTCATAGAGCTTCTCCCCTGACGTGCTATATCCCAACTGGAATGCCTGGGCCATGAGAACAGACCACAGTGGCCGCATATATTTGGTGCCTGGTGTGGATACTCAGGGACAGGATCCTGACTACAAACCAGGAACAGTTCTAGGTCCCAGGGATACAGCAGCACGTGAGACAGGCGGCCCGGCCTTCAATCTTAGGGAAGAGTGTGTGAGCACACGCAGCAGTGGCAAGGGGTAAAGAAATAAGTAAAATGCACATTATGTCCAATGGTAAAAGTGCCATGGGAAACGAGGTGGGGGGTGGTTTCAGTTTTAGATGATCAGAGACGTCTTCTAAAGAGTTAAAATACCAACAGAGGCCGGAAGGAGGTGAAAAAATGATCAGTGTTAATATTTGGGGTAAAAGCAATTAGAACAAGCAGCTTAAGGTGGCAAAGTCAAGGGTCCAGAGGCCACTGGGCCCAGAGCAGAACGAGCATAGAAAAGAGAAACAGGCCACGGATCAGAAGTAGAAGACTAGCTCATGTAGGTTTTGTGGGTAAAAGGGATGCCAGCTTTACAGAAGCATTGGAAGCCTTTGATCCGAAGAGACGTCATCAGATGTCCTTCTCCAGACACCCTGCTCTAGGAGCCAGGCCAGGAGTAGACCAGTAGGACAGTAAGGACAGAGCAGGGAACCCTGGGGGGAACCCATCCCCAGGGAGAACCCATGCAGTGACCCAGGCAAGGGAGGCTGGTGGCTCGGACCAGCCAAGAACATCCATCAAAGTGGCTTGCATCCAGCTAACTTTGAGGAAACCATGACAAGATGTGTGGACTGATGTAGATGGAGGAAGGAGAGGAAAAGAGGGACACCCAGGGTGTGGGCCTGGCCAGCTAGAAGGGTGGGCGCCACAGTCCTTCAATGGGAAGATCATCAGAAGGTAGGTCTAGAGGAGAAGATGGCCAGTTTGGGGCCTCCTACTCCTCCGTCTTCCCCAGAAGTAGAGCCAGTTCCACTTGGGATATATTGAGACGTTGGTTAGACACTGAGGAAGTTATGTTGGGTCAGCGGGTACGCAAGTGTGTGGGAGATGCCTGGAAGGACGGATCGTGGCTCCATCGGTCTACGGAGCCACGTGACCTGATGCCTGAGCCTAAAGTGCCTCTGCCAGGCGAGGGAGGTTGGGTGGGGGCTGAAGGATCCAGCAAAGGGACCCGAGAAGGAACAGCCAGCTGGGTAGAGGAAAGCTGAGCGCAAGGTCCCGGGAGGTTTCAGGCAAAATGCGTCAAGAAAGGGGAAGCAGTTGTATTACTGCTGACAGGTCAAGGCAGGGGAGCACCGAGGACCACCGGGTTTAGTGAAGGAGGGGTCGTTAGGGTCCCCCTCAAGGGCAGTGCTGCTGGTGGTCTGACTAGAGACAGCACAGGAGACACGGCGGGTCCCGAGCTAGGGAGTAGGGCTTGAAGACCATCCAGAATCAGGTTTAAGAGAGTAAAGATTCAAAAAAAAAAAAAAAAAAAAGTAAAGATTGTATCTTGTTCCTTAAGAGACTTAGGGAGCATAGCTTGCTTCTATTAAGATAGAGGTTCCAGCTTGTTCTGGAATAATCTAGAAAAGGAGCCGGGTCAGGGCTACGGGAAGCCACTTCCCACACCAGTAAGCTGTCGAAGGAGGTTTCTGAGAGGGGAAAGGACCTGACAGGAGAAGGGTAACCTTGCACCAGACTCACCCCAGTTGTAACAGAGACAGCAGAGTGCAGGTGGGGCCGAGGGTAGGTGGGTAGATGGCGGGGTCACAGGGAAGGTCCCATGCTGCCCGCAGGGACCAGGTCAGGGTGAGGAGGGCGGCCGGGAAGGGACAGTCCATCCAGGTCCATCCGGGACCCACGGGAGGCAGCCTATTGCAGGAAGAGCCCCGCAGACCCTCTTGCTGCCGCGATGCCTGCCCCTCGCCCCCCGGGGTGGGAGCCCACTCACCAATCCCGGTGAGGCGGAGCACGGCCGTGGCCACGGGGGCGTCCTCATCGGGCAGATAGTAGGAGACCAGAACCTGTGGAGATAGCGCCCAGAACCGGTGGGGCGGAGGCTTCGTACCCACGTCCGGCCATTGGACGTCGGTCTCACGTTCCAGCCTCGGAGCTTCTGAGGTCTGCCTGCGCGGGGCAGGGTCCGCCAGGGGCGAGCCCACCCGAGGCTCCACCCCAAGGGGAGACACCAAGGCACCTGCCCTACGTCATTCAACCAGAAAGGGGTGGCACGAGATGGGAGATCCAGGCTGCCTGGCCCTGGAGGTCGAGATTTAGGCCATGCTGGACATCCTCCTCGCCCTACCCCCGCCCTCCTGGGGTCGCACCTGTTGCCTGGAGATGGGCAGCGGGGAAGCAGGGGTGCTTCTGAGTGTTCAGCTGATTACTCAAAGGTAGGACACCTGGGGTGGGGCCTGGAACCTGAATAAGTCTTTCCTGCGTCCCGCACCAAACTGCTTCCAGAAGGGCCTTTGTACTTGAGACAAACACCTGCGCTTCAGCCACGGGCCTGGCCCACCAAGCCCTCATCACGGACCAGAGAGCTCACCAGTACGTGGGGCCATGTGACCCACCACCTGCTTCCAAATGGAAGCTTCTGTCCTCCAAAGTCCAGGGTCTCCCTAGACGCCTCCTGACGGTGCTGGAGGCTGAGCCCCGGGCAGAGAACACTGCTCAGGTCCTCGGGGCTCAGCCAGGACACCTCACAGCCGTGAATCCTGTGAGCTACGCAGGGCTTAAGTGCACTGCCTGACGCCGAGGGAGGCCCTGCCCTGGGCACAGAGCGCCAGCCGACCATTCCAGCAAGTTCTGCAGACCGCTGCCCTAGTCCTCGCCCCCACTTCACATTGGGGGCACCTGGTGGGGGCTATGAGCCACAGAAGCCAGGGGCCCACCCAGAGCCTGGCTTAATTGGCAGGGGCTGTGGCCTGGGTGGCGAGTGTTTCGAAGTCCCCGGTGGTTCCAATCACCCTGCAGGGGCGGTCAGCCGCCGCCACAGAGCCACCACCGAGCGGAGCCCGCCTCACAAGCTCAGCCTCCTGCCACCAACGGTGCCCTTTGGGAGACGGCTTGCCCAGGAGAAAGAACACGGCCCTGGGCTCCAGTCCTCGATCTGCCCCACTCTAGTCACGTCATTCAGGCTGGGGAGAGGTCATTCTGTGCCTCAGTTTCCTTGTGTGTAAACGGAGGGAAGACTGACCTCTTGACCTCCAGATAGCCAGCGCACAGCCTTCGATACACGTTAGCTCTTAAGTCTCATTAAAATCTCCACCCCCCAAAATAGAAAAATAATAAAGGGCACCTGGGGGGGCTCAGTGGCTGAGTGTCAGCCTTGGGCTCAGGGCGTGATCCCGGGGTCCTGGGATCGAGTCCCGCATCGGGCTCCCCGTGAAGAGCCTGCTTTGCCCTCTGCCTGTGTCTCTGCCTCTCTCTCATGAATAAATAAAATCTTAAAAAAAAATAAAATCTCCACATCCCCAAGGACCAGCCTTAGTCAAAAAGCCCATCTGCGTTTTGCTGCTAAAACCTTGGAGCCAGACTTTAGAAGCGGCTTGTTGGGAAGCCAGCCCGGTGCGGTCAGGAGGCGGGGAGGAGACAGGCGTGCTTGAGCTTGCATCAGGTCAGCAGGGGGCCGGGCACCCCCTCTCCTGGACTCCAGGCCCAGGACACCCCAGTGTCAGGAGGCTGCCCCCAGAGGTGGCCCCGCCCCAGCGCACCTGGTCCCCGTCGTTGGCGGAGCTGGGGCAGGTCATCTTCACCAGCACGTCCGTGGGATTTGACAGAGGCCACCGGGTCACAGTCGTCCCCTCCCGGCCTGGCCCTGGGAGCGTGCCGTGGAGGTCAACCGAGACCCCCGGGGAGCCGCTGATGGTAAACGCCTCGCACTTCTCCGGGGCGCACCTGGTCAGCCCGACGAGACGAGGAGACTTTAGGGCACAAGAGCCTCCCCTCCTCGGCCCACAGCACAGCCGGCTCCTTATCCTCTTTCTCCTTAGGGCGCTGAGCCAAAGGCCTGCTGCTCAGGGCAGCCTCGTGGTCCTCACAGACCTCACCCCCTCCTACCTTCCCCCCGCTCCAAGGGCCTGTAGCCTCCCTCCCACCAGCTCTAGCCCAGACCTCACCCTCCCACCCAGGCTCCAGAAGTCACCAAGGCTACATCTTATTTGTAAGCCCATGAAGAGAGGAGCTGTTTGAGCCAGATGGGACCCCTATAGGGACACGGGTCTCGGGAGTTCCATGCTGTGACCCCGGGGAAGACTGGAGCTCTCAGGAGCAAGTCACCCCCCTCCCCCAAGGCTCCAACTTATAGAACACCCCCCCCCCCCTTAATCCTCATGGCCTCCTGGAGAGCCAGCCTCATGCCACTTTCACCAGTAAGGGAACAGAACGGGCAAGGCACTGGTTTCTCTGAGGTCCCACAGCCCATATCGGGCAGAGGCAGGATTTAGGGGACTTGGGTCAGGATTTTGCAGTTTTGGGACTGGGAGGTCCTTAGACACCCAAGCCACACTCCTCGAGGTGAGGCAGGAGCCAAAGCTGCAGAGAAAGGAGGTGACCCCTGGCCCCCACATAGTTTAGGGGCAACCCCAGTATGGGAGTCAGGCACCAGCGTCCCTGTGCACACCTGTCCCCCAGGCAACCCCAGCAGAGCCCCCAGCTCCTCACCCATGGACATCCAAGCAGATTTCCATGCCCAGCACACACAGGGCACAGACAGGGCTGTCCAGGGACAGGTGGATGATGCTCTGGAAAGACATGGCACGGCTCTCCAAGCCGACTACCCCCAGACCTACACGACAACCCGAGGTCAGCACAGCAGCCTCAAATAACCCCACTCTCCCCCGACCCCTCCTCTCTTACGGGCTCAGGGCCTCCCCAGCCCGCCCCTTGTTAAGGACACTTCGGCAGCTGCCCAGGTGTGACTGATTTTCCCCAAGGAGACTTGCTGGGGTGGGAGGTGGTGCAGAGGAGCAGGTGGGGTCGGAGCCCCGCCAGCGCTAATCCATTAGCTAGCTAGTTCCTGCAGATCCAGGGCATCTGAGGCTGGCTGCTCAGGTCTCTGGCCTTCAGCTGGGAGCAAGAGGTGGTCTGGGGAGCCCATGCAGGGCAGGGGTACAGAGTGACCTGGCCATGGGCTGCAGGACTGGCTCAGCTGGAAGTGTCAGGAGCACATATCTGCGGGGGGGGGTGGGGGGGGTGGTGTGGGGCAGTGGTCAGGACGGCAGCATGTTGCAGCATCTCGGGGCCCTGGGGCCTCAGTTCTAGGGCGTGTGCTTCCTGGAAACTGAGGAGGTGAGCCGGGCGAAGGGCTGGGCCCGGGGTTCTCAACGCGGGGCGGTTGCAGAAATGATCGGGGTGCTCGCCAACGTCATGGACTCCTGGGCCCGCCAGGCCTGGGGTCCATCCTCAGGTGATTAGGGGGCGCTCCTTGTCCACAGCGGTGGCCTCCGCTCCCAGACAGAGCATGGCAAGTGTTGGAAGAACCAGTGAGCAGGGGAGCCCCTGCAGAGCCTGGTTGGCTCACCAGCTGCCTCCCATCTTCCTTGAGCACACTGGGCAAAGAAAGGAGAACTGCTCCCGCCCAAGGGACTCACCAGCTAACTTTATTTTTTTAAGAATTATTTATTTATGTATTCATGAGAGAGACAGAGAGGCAGAGATACAGGCAGAGGGAGAAGCAGGCTCCATGCAGGGAGTCCAATGTGGGACTCGATCCTGGGACCCTGGGACCATGGCCTGAGCCGAAGGCAGATGCTTGACAGACTGAGCGCCCCCACCCCCCGGCCCAGGCACCTCAGCAGCGAACTTTAAAGCAGTGTTCATTTTATGGTTTAAAAGTGAAGGTTTATGGTTGTTTTTGAAATAAGCACATTCACATGGTCCCAAGTTCAAAGGGGGCTTGCAGCAGCATCCCCCCTGCTGTCACCTGCCCAGTTCCTGATGGAGGCAGCCAGCGGCATCCGTGTCTGTCCATAGAAATGTCACACATGACCAGCAAACGCGTGTGCATGTCCTCCCCTCCTCCTTATCTTTATGTGCGTGGCAGCGCACGCTGCCCAGGGTCCGTGTCTCGCTGTCTGCACTTCATGGTGCGACCCGGAGAGAGGCCTTCCTGGCAGCATGTGAAGAGCATCCTCATCCCTCTTCATGGCTGCAGGGTCCTCCCAGCAGAGCCGGACCGTTGCAGGTAGACACGCTGGTCTTCAGGCTTTGGCCCTGGCGGGCAGCGCTGTGATGGGTGTCTGGTGTGTAACGAACGGCACAGGGGGCGTGAGTTGGGTCCTGAGTAAAGTCCGCTCCGTCAGCCAGGATTGTTAAATTCGGGACTAAAAGTAGAAATATCCCTCCTTGGAAGCGTTAAACGCGCAACATTTCACTGTCAGGGGCAGCTTTATTTAGGGGCTTGTCTTGGAGACAGTGGGTGGGCCAGGAAGACCCTAAAGGCCCTTCTGGTTGGGCTGAAAGTGGCAAAGATTCAACAGGGAGGAGGCGCTCAGCCCGAGTGTGCTCTCGCCCACGGCCGCCCACCTGCCTGCCTGGCTGCTCACACACAAGCCGGAGGAGGTGGGCTGGAGGGAGGGGATGGCCGGGCTGGGGCGGGGGGGGGGGGTTGCTGAGTGCTGGGCTCTGGCTTCTGGAGCCAGTCTGGGAGCTCTGTCCCCCTGACCTTGGACCACCCTGCCTTGTGCCAGGGTTCTGAGCGGGGTGTGTGTGGGGGGGTGCAGAGCACTCTCAACTTGGGGGACGGAGACCCCTTTGGGCCTGGGAAGGACTTGGGGAGATCTAGAGTGGGTCTTGCTCCCCCTCCAGGGGGCTTCCTGTTCATCACTGAATCCCCAGCACCCACAAAAGGGTCCTGGATGTAGGAGATGCTCAATAAATTCTTGTGCAAATGACTACATGACCCCCATTCCCCTCAAAAAGATAACCCAGTGGGCTTCCATGGGGCTCTCCAAGCAAACCAAGGGCTTTGTGACCCTGAGGCAAGTTTGCTTAGACTCCCACAGCTCCCTGCATGCTTACTCAGTGTACACAGTCCCCCTCGGCTCCTCCACGAAGCTCACTCCCTGGTCACCGGGTCCCACGGTCACTTCAGGTCACTGTGGGGGATGCTATGGTGCGCCACCTGACCCCCTTCGGGACGCAGGCATCACTCATTCCCCCAGCTGCTGCAGGGGCCCCCTCCTGGAATTGTCCACCGTGCCAGTTCCCAAGGCCGCGTCCCCCTCTCTGGGGGCAGCTTCCTCCAAAGTGGGGGGAGGGGAGGACAAGGGCAGGCTGTTCATCTTAATTCAGGACAACTTCAAGGGTTTATCCCAGCACCAGGGCATCCCCCGGGTCACCCAGAACCATTGTAGCCACCACACTGCACATTGTCTCCTGCTTCTCCCCGACCTCCCCGCCCCCATCCCCCACCTGCAGGCACATCTCCCCCTCCCCGCATCAGTTTCTGGGAACCAGACACAAAACAGTGACCAGATAATTTCAACTCCGAGGTTGAAACATCAAAGTGCACACAAAAGAAAACCTCCCACTTGGTTTTATAAAGTTAAATCTGCCCCGCACACCCCCACACACACACACAGAAGACAGGATAATTATGTGGCGTGCAGAGGTGTTAGCCACCACCATGTGGTGATCCTATTGTGTGTAAGTGGATCAGATCAACGCTGTACTTCTTAACCTTGTCCAGTGTTACGTGTCCATTATAGCTCAGTCTTGATTGATTGACTTATCGATTTATTTATTTATTTATTTTCAAGAGAGAAAGCAGAGGGAAGGGCAGAGGGAGAGGGAGAGACAATCCCAAGCTGACTCCACACTCAGCGCAGAGCCCCAGGCGGGGCCTGATATCATGACCCTGAGATCACAACCTGAAACAAAACCAAGAGTTGACGCTTAACCGACTGTGACACCCAGGCACCCCTATATCTTAATTTTTAAAAAGTTGAGTTTTGTCCCTTTGCCATTAGGGTTTATTATTTTTTTAAAGATTTTATGTATTTATTTATGGTGGACACAGAGAGAGGCAGAGGAAGGAGCGGGCTCCTTGCCAATGCAGGACTTGATCCCAGGACCCCGGGATCACGACCTGAGCCAAAGGCAGACGCTCAACCACTGAGCCCCCCGGGTGCCCTGATCATTAGAGCTTAATGCAGGTGCAACGCTTCAGGCTGTGGAGAAGGGATGCTCAGCTTCTCTCTGCCCCTTCCGCCTGCTGCAGCTGGACCAGGGGGCTCCTGACCTGTGGCATGTGGACTAACAGCCCCGGCCCCATGAGATGTCAGGTCCTAATCCCTGGAACCTGTGCCACCTCGTACAGGCAGTCTTTGCACATGTGACCACGAGTCCTTGAAATGGGCAGATTATCCTGGCTTTTCTGGGTAGGTCCTAAAAGCAGGGACAAGCGTCTTTGTGAAGCAGCAGAGGGAGATTTGCCACAGAGGAAGGCAAGGTGAGCACAGGAGGGTTCTGGAAGTGTGCCGCGGCCACCAGGAGCTGGAAGAGATGAGGAACGGACTCCTCCAGGAGCCCCCGGGGGGACCACAGCCCTGGCCCCCCCTTGATCTCAGCCCATGGACACTGATTTGGGGCTTCTGGCCTCCAGAACTGAGCGGATCCATGTCTCCTGTGTTACGAACCCCAGTTGGCGGTAACCTGTCACATACGGCAGCCTCGGGAAAGTAGCCTGTGGCCGCTGGCGAAGGGACAGGAGGCAGCTGGAAAGTTCTAGCTTCCCAGGTGCTATCCTCGGATGGCTCGGTGCTCCGAGGGGCTGGCAGGACTCACAGCTGGTGCTTTCCCTCCCCTGGGCCTGGCCCTTGGCAGATGCTCCCACGCCGGGCGAGCGGCCCGCAGAGGCTCACCTGCGTGTGTCGTGGTGCCAAGGCTGCTTCAGTCACCAGCCCGTCCCTGGGTCCTTCTGCAGCCCCGCGACCTGGCCAAACCTTTAGCTTTTGTCTGCTGAGCCCGTCGGTCAGGTCTGGGGATGACCTCCTGGGCACAGGCCCCTTGCTGTCCCCAAAACCCACTCGTGTATCCTTTGCCTGGCAATTTGGGAGGCGAAGCAGCAGACTCTCCTCAGAGAAGCACAGTTCGAGCCAGGTTTTCTGGGATCCCTTTCTGTGTGGTGCGAGGGTGGAGGGGTTGGATGTCCACCTTTTCCACCATCGTACGTTCTCCAATGACCACACGAAACCAGTATCTCCGGGTGTTTCTGAGCATCTCAGGCTCTATGCAGCCAAGATCTGGCCTTGATTTTTTAAAATCTCCAGGCACCAGATGCATCAGATTTTGTTTTCTGCAGAGGAACCTAAGTCCCCTTGTCAGGGCCATGAAAGGAAACATAAAGGCCACAGAGGGAGAGAGGGACTTCCTTCCGCAAAGCCTGGGGACAGCGTCACACCGGGCCCTTCACCGGGCTGGAATGGCAACGACAAGTGTGAGGGACACAGAGAATTCGCTGCTCCCTGGATGGATTTCACGATCCTCACGCTCCCCTCGGGTTCTTGCTCCAGGCGTCTGTTGCCTTTGTCTCAAAGGACAGCGCGAACAGGAGTGCAACCCCTGGCCCCACCTTTGCCCTGGGAACTTTATGCGCATCCCTTTGGGGTCTCCGACCAGTCCGAGGCCCACAGGACTGTCCCTGCCGCTCTTCCTGCCCATGTGCTCGGAACCCACTGTACTTCCTATAATTCTCCTTATCACGAAGCACACAGCACAGGTGCGTCCTTGACACGTCCACACGACAGCGAACCATCAAACGGGCACCCGTAAGCCTCAGGATGTTCACGCAGCTGCCTGCTTGGAAACGGACTTCAATGCACTTTGCAGGAGGGATGTGCTGCGTCCCCGGGGCTGGAGGGGGAGCTCAGCCCTCCCCTCACCCCCCACTCCCACCCCTGCCCCATCAAGGGCTCTGTGGGAGCTTAGAATCAGTTGGGCTCTGGTCACAGAAGACATCACAGACCAAGGATAGGCCTGGGAGAGAAAGCCACGCGTAGTCACGCTGGCCTTCCACGTGCCCCACAGCACCTTCGAGCCTGTGACATTCAGTCTGACGGTGACAATGAGCGAATGCACGAAGGATGGCGACGCTGGCTTGACCTCACTTACAAAGAGATTATAAAACTTTATTGGGGCGTCACACAGCAGAAACGAGTTTGCAAGGCCAGGACTATCTTGGGGTCCTCAGAAGGGGGGGCCCCAGAGGCCAGGGCACAGCGGAAGGGGGCAAGCCGCTGCCGGGAGGGTGGCTACAGCCAGGGAGCCAGCCTGTGCCCAGGCGCTCTTGCAATGCCACACTGCAGGGGACCAGAGCGTCTGGCCGGGAGCTTCGGGAGCTTCGGGAGGGCAAGGACTCCGGGTTGGCGGGTGGAGGCGGGCTCAGGGCACCATGTTCCACCACTTGAAGGAGAAGGGCTGCCGGCGCACGTTGGTGCCGCAGTGGACCTCCCCGTGCCGCACGTGGTAGGCGTAGAAGTCGTCGATGAAGGTGCAGTGCAGGCCCAGTGGCTCCAGCAGGGACCGCACCTTCTCCTCCAGGCAGCACTGGCCGTTGATGATGGGCCCGAAGGGCTTGGGGATGCCCAGGTGCTTCCCCAGCACCAGCATGTTCACCTGCAAGGAGGTGGGGGGGGTGTTCCCAGCTCAGGGCAGCAGCCTGCATCACCACCTGTGTGTCCCCTTTTTCTTCTGATCTTCAGAAATAGCAGCCCCACTTCACAGATGGGGAAACAGAGGCCCAGACAGGTAAAGTGGGCGGACTCAGGCCACCTAAGTCTATCAGACTCCAGGGCCCGTGTTATGAACGCTACACTCTCCTTCCCCATCTGCCACCTTCTGGCAAACTCTGTGTGACTCAAGGCCCAGCTCCAGGGGCGCCCCCTCTGTGAAGCCGCCCGTGAGTCCCCGAACCCCGGCAGTTAGTGCTCCCCGTGTATTACCTAACACTTATGTAAATAGCTGTTTCCTCCCTTATCCCGGGAGGTGAAAGGAGGAGGATTTTGGCTGCAGGCCAACCCGGGTTTGAATCCCAGCCCGGCTACTCAGTAGCTGCGTGACCTTAGGCAAGTCACTTGGCCTCTCTGAGCCTCACCAGCAACAGGAGCCCAAATGCAGTTACGTTGCTGGGACAACAAGCTGTCACGCTCATGGAGCAGGTGCAGGGTCAGTCTCCCGGGCTCAGGAGTCGTTGTCACGACTCAGGCCAGCCCCTGCTGGCCGAGTGTCTCACTCCCTGAGTCTTTCTGCCAGTTCCACATCCAGACTCACACCTCCCGCCGGGGGTCCCTGGGGCTGAGCCAGGCTCAGGGCCCCTGCAGAGCCCGCAGTCAAGGCACCGAGTGGCACCCACGCCTTCATTCACGATGCCCCATCCCCTGGCCGCCAGCGTCAGCCTTTCCTGCCTGGGAACCCTGGCTGGGCTCACGCGACGCAACCGAATGCTTGGGGCAAGGAATTTTGTTCAAGGGACCCCCTCCTGCCTTGCTTTAACCACAGACCCTCTTCTAAACAAAATCTCCTGCAGTACTTTGATGCCTAAAATAGAGAAAATCCAAACCACTGGGTTTTGAGGCACCGTCTTTGAACCCCAGTGAGCCGGGGGGGGGGGACCAGTTTGACATCCATTGTGCCAGGGGCTCCCGGCTGCCCCTGACCTGTGACGTCCAGGCCCGGCAGGAGAGGGGAGCCGAGGGGCCTCCGGAGAACTGGGTGAGGTTGTCGCCTGGCCCTCTAGTATCCTTGGTGGAGACGGAGGAAGGGCACAGGGACAGTAAAAATACAACAGGCGGCCTTGAGATGGTGCTGGTGGGAGGGGGTCACAGTGTAAGGTCCTTGGTAAGGGCGGGAGCCCCCTCAAGTCCGCCCTTCAGAGGAGAGAATCTGCCCAGCCCAGCAGCGCTGGCTTCCTGCCCTCGGAGGGGTCTCCCCGGAGCACCCAGTCTGCAGTGCTGCGCCCACTCTTATCCCTTCCAAACGCGACCCGAGAGCACCCTGGTAGCGGCTTGCTCTGCCCACCGCACCCCCACCGCAGCCCGTGCAGGGAAGAGCCCTGGTGGTGACGGCGTGGGCTCTGCAGCCAGACCCTGGCTTCGGGTTCCAGTTCTAAATCCCATTTTACCAGCTGTGGGTTCCTGTGCCAGAGACCCGACCTCTCTGGGCCTCATCCATGAGGGAGACCCATGAGAGTCTGGGGCTCCCAGGGCAGCTGTGTGATGCCCAGGCCTCCTGGATCCGCACCCCGGGTCCCTGACTTAAGGCCCTGGGCCCACCCCGGAGCCCACCTCCTCACCATGTTTGGAAAATAGGCTTCGGCCTTGAGGATCCCACTGTCCTCCTCCTGAAGCTTGAAGAGCTGGGGGATGTCCACGATGTCCCGCTCACTCAGGCCCAGCTCCCGCTTCAGCACCTCCCGGTTCCAGTCGATGCATTTCTGGAGGGGGGGAAGGGGGGGGTGTGGTGGGGTCAACTCGGGCAGGGGCCAGGCGATGAGGGGGTGGAGGGCCGGTGGGGGTGATGGGGCGCAGCAGGGCGCCCCTGGGGGTTGGGGACTGTGGTGGGGAGGGCACCAGGGACAGCGAGGGCAAGGCAGCGATGGCACCTCCTTCGCTTCCCTCCTTCCCTGGCTCTGCTCTGCTCCAGCCCCCCGCCTCTTGCTTCTGCCCACCTGTCCCCGTGCTCCTGGCCACCCCGTGTCCCTCTAGCACTCGGCCTCTCTCCCGCCTGTCCCTCTGCTTCTGAGACTTGCACCCGTCTTCCCGGGGCTCCGGCTTTTCCAGCCTCCCTTCCCCCCTTTCCCACGCATCCTTCGCGCGTGTTCCCACGGTGGTGACTAGCATCTGTCTGTCGGTCCCACGCACGGCTACCCAAATCCCAAATCCGTTCACCACCCCGCCGACACGCAGCCGGCGGAAGGGGAAGGCTCTGCATCGGGCGCCCCGGTGAAGGCACCCGCCCCGCGCCCGTCTGCCCAGGCTATGCGTCCCCTGCCTCCCAGGCTGGTACCTCCACGTATGAGTTCTGGTCTCTCAGTTTCTTGTCTGACAGGATGTCCTTTATTTTCTGGTTTTTTTCTGTCATGGAGAAAAAGAAAAAAGAATGCCGATGAGTTCAGAGGCCGAGGTCCCCCCTCCTGGTGGGCCCGGCGGGGCCTCGGCCTTCCCAGCTATAAAAAGGCGGCAGTTGTAATTCCTAACGCACAGGTTCGTTGCGAGCATCTAGGAGGCGAATGCCTTTAATGAAATATTTCAAGAGCATAAGTTCTCCTTAAAAGCATTTTTCTTGGGGCCCCGGGTGGCTCAGCGGTTGAGCGTCTGCCTTGGGCTCAGTCCCGCGTCGGGCTCCCTGCTCAGCGGGGGGCCTGCTTCTCCCTCTGCCTCTGCTGCTCCCCCTGCCTGTGCTCGCTCTTTCTCTCTCCCTCTCTCTGTCAAATAAATAAATACAATTTTTTAAAAAATAAAAAAATGTTTCAGTCCCTTAAATTACCTCCAAAGGGATCCCATCTCCGAGAGGCAGACGGGGGTCTAACGGGTTCCTGATATCACACGACGCCCTGCAGATACTTGGTAAAACCTCTCGGCGGTGGAGACTCACCAACCTCTGAGCCAGCGCACGCCTGCGGACGCCAAGATTTCCTTCTGTGCTCCGGACGGACAGAACTTTCAATCGCTGGTTCATGTACTCGCTCACTCATTCATTCATTCATTCACTCTTTCAGCATTTGAGCCAGACTGGACTTCATTCGGGTCCTCAGACACTTCATTTCGCTCTCTCCTGCCTCTGAGCCTTTGCATTCCCTGTTCCCTCTGCCTGAGATGTGTCTCCTCCTCCTCTCGTCCCAGCGCCCCGTTGGGCGACCTCCTACTCACTCATGCTCCCACTCACCTGGTCTGTTGCCTCCTCCAGGAAGCCTCCCTTGGACTCCTCCCAGGGACCCGCCACCCCCCTTCCCGCAAGGCCCCCTGAGCTGTTGTCATTTACTTGAGTCACTTCCCCGAGACCTGAGCCCCAACGGCGAGGGCGGGGAGCTACTCGGCCCGGGGTCACGCGGAGCCTGGGGCACAGCAGGTGCTCAGGGGACAACCACCGCCAGCTCGCCGCCATCTCCTACGGGGACCCCGCGACGGTGGAGAACGGAGCCCGATGCGGGGGGCAGAGCCAGCTTACTCTTGATGCCTTCAAAGAGCGCAGCCTCCCCGTGGCCCCCCTTGAGCTGCTCCTCCAGCAGTGCGTAGCAGGCCCGGGGGCTGGCCAGCAGCAGCCGGAAGCCCTGGAGGCAGGAACACGGGGGCAGAGGTCAGCCGTGTCCCCGGGGGCTCCCCAAAGCATGGGCTCTGACCCAGGGGGGCCCCCTCCTGGGGTGGAGGGAAGGCCAGGCGGCTGTACGCGGCCGGGCAGGCCTCCTGGGGCAGTTGGCAGAGCGAGGCTTGGGGGCCTGGGGAGGAGGCATGGGGCTTCCTTCAGGGAGCCCCCCGGGACTGCACCTTCTTGGGCGCGGGCACGAAGCTCAGGAACTCGTCCACGTGGCCCACAAACAGCCAGTCGGAGTAGAGCTTCACGGGCGCCTGCACCTGCTGGGCGCTGAGGAAGTCCTGCACGGCCTGGTGCATCTCCTGGCTCTCCTTGCTGCCCGCACAGGACGGAGGGGGTGTCACGGGGGTGGGGGCAGCAGGGGCGCCTCTGAGGGACATGGAGGCCTGGCAGGCGCATCAAGCCTCCCCCCTTCAGCGAGGAAAGGGATCAGAGGCCCGGACTCCTTTACACCATCCTCCAAACGGGAGGAATTTACCAGTTTGTTGGAGGGGGGGAAACTGAGGCACCAAGTCGGCACAGTCAGTAAGACCAGAGCTTAGCCTCAGAACACACTGCTCACTGACTCGGCCCAGATGCTGCTGTTGGGGGTAAGCCTGAGGCTGGCCCGTATTACCCGGGTGGATGTGGAGAGCCGGCCCCAGCCGAGTGGGTAAATCCCTCCTTGGCGGTGAAGACTGGGGACCATCCCTCCACTTCCACGGGCTTCAGTCTCCTGGCCCTGTCTCCACGGTCCTTCCCAGTCCAGCCCTCTGCTCCCCATCATACAATCTGTTCCGGCCACTCTGCCTTCTTGAACACCCAGTCCTGCCGCAGGGCCTTTGCACGTGCTCTTTCATCCGCCAGGAATCCTCCACCCCAGATCCCACACAGCCCTGTCCTTGTTGTCATCGGGCCTTAGCTCCAGGGCTGCCCTCTCAGTGAGCGCCTCCCTAGTCACCCTAACAGTTCCCACTCTTCCTCTGCCCCTCTCTTTTTGCTTTCTTCACTATTTGAAATGATCTTATTTGTCTAACATTGTGTCTCGCCCACTAGAACAGCAGCAAGGCCTTGTCCCTCTTGCTCACGGCTGCCTTCCTTCCCTGCGCCGGCTGAGCCAGCCCTCCCCTCCTCTCCTGGGACCCGCGGGTCTGGCCCTCTCCACCCCTCCCCTCCTCACCTGGGGTAGCCGCCGCTCCCAATGAGGATCCTGCCCAGAGGGTACTTCTTCCTCCCGACAGTGACCGGGGGGCTCACTTCCAGGTTTCCAAAGGAGTCGAAGGTAGTAACCTCTCCAGTCTCGGGCCCTCGAGTCACGTAGCCAAAATCTGGACCCTGCGATGGGAGAAGCGCATGCCAGGCGTGGAGAGTGGGTCCCCGCATGAGGACGGGCTGCCCAGCCGCAGGAAGGCTCGCCGTGGCCGGAGCTGGTGCAGTGTAGACCCGGGCGGACTCGCCGGCCACGGAGGGAGCGGCGGTGGGGGCTGGTATGAGCCCACAGCGTCCCAAACCTTAACTGGGGAGTGACAGTGAATCTGCCAAGTAGCATTTTTGTCCTCATTCCGCAGACAGAAGGCTGGTCAGAGCGGTGGGTGGCTTCCTCAGGCCCCACAGCCAGATGAGGGAGGACTGACCATCTACACAGCGAGCCTCCTGGACCACACCGTGCTCCCTCCCGACTGGGCTGGAACTGGCTTCCCCAAGTGGCTGTGACGTCCTGCGTGGATCTTCATGGGAAGAACAGGCAGGCGACACGTCTCTCACCCCCACTATGAGTTTCCTGTGGCTGCTGTGACACAGCTAGTGGCTTAAAACAACACACATTTGTTCTCTCTGGGCTCTGAAACCAGGGCTAACATCAAGGCAGGCTGGTTGCCTCTGGAGGCCCCGAGGGCAGGCTGTTTCCCTGCCCTTCCAGCTTCTGGCTGTCACCGTGCCTGGTGGCCTCTTCCCTCGTGGTCAAGGTACTTGCTGTGTCTACACGGCCCTTCTCCCACTCCGTCCTCCATCTTCCGTCTTCCAAGGAGCACCAGGATGGTTAGAGCCCGCCAGATAACTCAAGGCGCCTCCCCATCCCAGGGTCCCGAACTGAGTCACACCCGCCAGGGCCTTTTGCCACAGGAAAGCCTCGGGTCCTGGGGATTAGCGCGAGCCTGTGTTTGAGGGCCACCATTCTGCCTACTGCACTGGCCCCAGCGTCCCCCAAAAGGGTGATCATTCCCAATCCCACTTCTCCCTTTCTCTCTGACACCCATGCCAGCCCGACTCCCGTGCCCGCTGTGCCCTGGAAACTTCCTGACCACACAGCTGAGCCCTGAGAGCTGTGCCCTCCGGCGTCAGGGGAGTCAGCTGGTCACACTCATGTCCTCGCACACTCTCTGTGCTTGGCCTTCAGGACACTGCACGCTGTTGGGTCCTGCGTCTCAGGCTCCTGTGCACGGGGCAGCCTGCCCCAGCCTCTTCTCTCATCCTTTATTCTCTATAGTTGTCTTCCTCCTGGTGCTGGCACCCAGTCTCCCGGAACATGGAACACGTGCTGACCACCCCACACATCTGTCTCCCGTCTGCACTTCCCTGCCAACCCCTGCCCCCTGCCCCCTGCCTCCTCCCTACACCTCCTGTCCCTGCCCCCTGCCTCCTGCCTCCTCCCTGCACCTCTTGTCCCTGTCCCCCTGGCTCCTGCCTCCTCCTTGCACCTCATGTCCCTGCCCACCTGACCCCCTGCCCCCTGCCATCCATTCTCAACAAGAAACCAGAGCTCCCCTTTTATAACATCCATCAGGTCAAATCCTCCGTTTAAGACTCTGCAACAATCCCCCAGTTTCTCAGGGTTTAAACAAACAGCCCCGCAGTGGCCACAGGACCTGCCCCCGACTCCATCCCCATCACCTCTGACAGCCTCTCCTCCCGCCCTGCCTTCATTCTTCCCTCCAATACAGCTTTTATTGCATCTTTCAGATATCACAGGTAAGTCTGAAAAACCATCCGACATCTTGCTGTTTCTGTAGCTGCGGATCTTATCCATCAGCCTGGTGAACTGTTCCTTTTTCAGAAACGTGGATACCGTCCCCAGATTTTCCGGTATCCTTACTTTGAACTCCCGTGGCTTGCCGAATCGAAGCTGCTGAGTTTGATGCAAGTTCAATGCCATTTCCTTCGAGAATTAACTCATTTTTTATCTCAAGATACTGAACACGCAACACCTGGCCTTATCCGAGCCCAGGGGACGTATTTTTCACCCCAGAAACGTTAGATTTCAACACAAGAAGCATCCTCCTGCACCACGACGTTGAAGGGGAAGTGAGCGCACACAGACCTCGTCTTGTAAGGGAAGCCCGGCGCAACGCCCTTGACCTGCTCTGCCCACGACTCCAGTTCTGTTCCAGTTCCCACCATGGGACCACTTAGAGCCTCTTCTTCTTTCCAACGAGACTGGCTTCCTCGTGCATGTGACTGAAGTCCCTCCGCGGGGTTCCCCTGGGGCCCTTCGCAGTAACAGTGCATCCCGTCAGAGTGACGTCCGCGTTTTCTGGAATGTCGACAGTCTGATCATTGAGAACGGTCTCCCTTCCCAGCAGGTGCGGCAAAGAGATCCCACCCTTCCTCTTGCTCTCTCTGCTCCACCCCTTCTGGCCTCCTCGCTCTTCGCTCTTCACTGATTCTGCCGGGCTTGCTCCTGCCCCAGGGCCTTTGCACTGGCTTTCTTCCGCCTCAGACACTCCTCACCCAGGCATCCTCGCAGCCGACTCTCTCACCTCTTTGGAGTTTTTGCTCCAGTGTCCGCTTCTCAAAGAGACCTACCTTGACCTTTTCCTATTTAAAATTGCCATGTAGGGGCACCCGGGTGGCTCAGTGCTTGAACATCTGCTTTCGGCTCAGATCATGACCCTGAGATCCTGGGATCGAGCCCTGCATCGGGATCCCCGCAGGGAGCCTGCTTCTCCCTCTGCCTGTGTCTCTGCCTCTCTCTCTCTCTGTCTCACGAATAAATAAATAAATAAAATCCTTAAATAAAAAAAATAGAATAAAATTGCAGCATAATCCCCCCACTACTCCAGCACCTGGGAGCCCCTTGATTCTGTTCCTTTTTTTTTTCCCTGTAGCATTAGATTCCACTTTCCAATGTACGATATAATGTATTTGTTCACAGTACTTAATGTTCACTGTCTTCTTGGGCTACAATGTCACCTCCATGAGGGTGGGATCCTTGGTGCTGCTCATGATGTATCCCAAGTGCCCAGAGCGAGGCTGGGCATGGAGCACGGGCTCATAGAGTATTTGATGAACGAATGATAAATTCACAGAAGTCGCTGCCTTGGCCTTTTCCATGAGAGGGGCTCAGCTCCACAGGCCACGGGCTTGGATTTCCCAAAGCAAGTGGGGTGCACCCTTGGCCCGCATGCGAAGTGGCCCCCCAGCAGCAGCGGGTGCAGGGGCCACTCACACCTGCTTGTGCAGCTTCCCGCACAGACTGACACGCGTCGCCCTGTGAGCTCTCCTCTAGTGTTTCGGGCTCATCGAGGACCCAGAGTGTGCAAATCCATCCTCAAAACCCATGTTAACATCCATGGAGCAAACCTCCGCTGCTCAGCTCTCGCACCCCCTCGTGTGGAGCTGGCTCCGGTGGCGTTATTTTCACTCTGTCTACCTCCACCGTTGCCCTCTGCGCACAGTAAGTGCTGCTGGTTTTCCACTCACGGCTGGTGTAAAAATTTACTGAATTTTTTTCTTAGGGGAAGAACAGCCCCTGCGAGCATGTGGTGTGCTAAGTGGCGTCCGCGTGATGGGCGCCGTGGCCTTGGCCCTGCTCCCCCCCCCCCCACCATGCTGCTCACAGTCTTGTAGGGAAACAACAAAAGCAAAATAACAAGTCAGAGATTTATGTGAAGTGGGAAGAGCACGGTGGGCAGAGGGAACGGCCCCTGCGGAGGCTCCGGTACGGGGGAGTTGGGCACGTTGGAGAAGAGGAAGGCGGCCTGGAAGGTGGGGTTGGAGCTGGGTGAGGAACAGGCAAAGCGGCCCATGAGGAGTTTGGAAGAGCAGATGGTGACGACGTTGTCTGGTGACAAGTTTGACTTTTACCCCAATTCCCCTCCTGGGTGATGCGAGTCAGAAAACCGCAGCTGCACTTGCCTGAGCAAGCATCGCAGCCCCTCGCGCAAGGCCAGGTGTGGGAAAGGTAGGGACACCTGTGCTGAGGTGACGCTGGCGATTAGGCTTGTGATGTCAGAGACTCTGGCCTCTGTCACCCTCAGCACAGCGAAGCGGGCGATAGGCCGCTGAGCAGAGCAGGGCTGAAAGCAGCGGGAGGGACTGTAGTCCCCGCAGCAGCTGCCCCTTGATCCCCGAGGTCCTGAAACAGGAGGAACCTGATTCCAGCCAGAGAGACACCCGGACCCCACGAAATCTGTGTGGCACCGCTCAGCGCGGGAGAGCGAGCGAGACTCGGACAAGGTGCGGAGTCGAGCTCAGACTTGCTTTCAAAGCCTCCCGTGTGGGCAGGGCTGCCTCCCCTTCCCCGGGGCGCAGGGTGCTCCCCGGAAAGCCATTCCTCGGTGCAAACCTTGCACCCTGTGCCCCCCACTCCTTTCCCCTGCGCTGCCCTGGCACCTGGAGCGCGCACCTGGTGGCATCCTGGGAACGGAGCTCGCTCCCGGGGCCAAGCCGCCTGGTTTGAGGGCCAGCTCCTCCCCTCTTTTGTGTGACTTTGGGAAAGCGACTGTATCTCTCTGAGCCTCAGTTTCCTAATCTATAAAATGGGCCTAGTGATAGCATCTAGATTAAAGGTTGCTGGACGAATTAAACGAGTCCGTGCTTGTAGAGAACCTGGCATCGTGACCGACAGAGTGTGTGCTCAGTCAATGTGACTATTCCTATCATGATGATTCTTTTTTTTTAAGACTTTATTTATTTATTCATGAGAGACACAGAGAGAGAGAGAGCGAGAGAGAGGCAGAGACACAGACAGAGAGAGAAGCAGGCTCCATGCAGGGAGCCCGACGTGGGACTCGATCCTGGGACTCCGAAGGTGGCGCTAAACCACTGAGCCACCTCGGCTGCCCCTATCATGATAATTCTGTGCTGAGTCTACACGAACCCGCCGGGCTGGTCTGGCATGACTCACTGATACATGCCCCCCACTCCACCCCCACACACATGCAGACTCACATCTAGGAAATGACCACTCTGATCCCCAAACCCGCTCCCTATCCCAGATGGACCCATCACAAGGGCCAGATCCCTCCTTCCCACTCGGGGAGTTGGGGAGGTTCCAATTCTGCCCCCCCCCCTCCCGCAGCGAGAGCATCCTCAGTGGGACCAGGACGACCCAGTGTGACCTGACGTCCTTGGCAGGGTTATTCTGAGGACAGGCTGAGCTCATGGCTGGAAGGAGCTTTGGGAAAGGGAGAGCCTGCTTTCATCTCGGCAGTGACAAAAATACAGGAAGTAACCTGCCGAGCCCAGGGAGGAAGGAGGCCTGGGGCAGGGGGTCCCGGAGCCGCCGGCCCCCCAGCACGTACCAGCAAGCACTTGATGGGGAAGTCCTTCAGGCCCCTGTTCCTCGGAGAGTCAAAGACCACGGGCAGGGTCTTGTGCGGGGCTTGGATGTAGCCGATTTCTATCTCGTCCTGTGCAGGGCGAGCGGAAAGAGGGCTGAGGGGCGTGGGGATGGGGGCCTGCACGCGGTCACCCTCCCCTGTGCTCAAGGGCTAATCCCTGTGCAGTGTGTGACCCCAGAGAAGGGGCTCTGAGGAAGCAGAGCTTATTATCCTGTGTGTGCCCAAAGGGGCTCACCCCCACTCCTGGTGAGTGTTGGGGCCGGGTGCTGCAGGTGCTGGGGACCTGGTGAGCGAGCGTCAGGACCTGTCTGCAGGGAGCTGGGCACGTAGCACCCAGTGTGAGGAGGAGGAGGAGGGGTTCCTGATGTGCTTGGGACAGGCAGAGAATGGGAACTGGCACGCTGAGACCTGGGGGCGGGGGAAGAGCAGCCCTCCCCCAAAGAGGGGGCAGGTCAGACCCAGCCTTGCCCAGGGGGCAGAAGCGGGGAGGGCTCAGAGATGCACCCAGTTTTCTGACAGATGTGATGTCGGATGTGACCTCAAATAGGCTGAACCCCCTGAAATTGCCAGTTTTGTAGTTTAAAAATGGTGCTGCCAGCAGTCTTATGCTCGTCAGCCCAACTTCACGCAGACAGAACGATGGGAAAGGCAGCGAGGGTGCTATCTGTGGGCTTAGGAGAGGGATGGGAGACTTCCGGAGGGGAAGCTTTGGAGCTGGGATTGTACAAGCGGGATCGGTTATGGGGGATGGGAATGGAGAGCGGAGAGAGGGACCATCAGTGGGTCCAGGCACGGGGGCGGGAGCAGGGTGGAAGCGCAAAGAAGGCAAAGGAGTGGTGAGGAGGTTGGGTTCAGCCTGCCAGCGCCTGCAGCCACTGCCCATGCCGGTGCTGGGTGTTGAGCTGAGTGAGACTCAGTCTCCGTCCTTAGGGAGCTTGTGGCATGATGGGGGAAGCAGAATAGGGATGCGGCCAGCAGGCTGGCAAAAGGCAAGGGGCAGCCGGATGGGGGGGGGGGCCTGGAGGCAGGCTGAGAAGGAGGAGATGGGAACCACGGAAAGTGCTGGAGCAGGGGGGCGGCCTGGTGTGATGGCTGAGCTTGGAGGGAGGGCCACTGGAGGGACCGGTTTGCATCATTTCTGGAGGGTCATCTGAGAGTTTTCAGGCAGGAAGGTGGCTTTCATCTTGGTGACCATGGCAGGCATGCCGTGGCTGGCAGCCAAAGCCGGTTTGTTCACTTGCCTGAGGCCCCATGTGCCAGGACCCTCAGCGGTTCCTCACTTCCTGCCCATCTGAGGAGAGGTGGCCAGCAAGCCGCCAGGCCCAGCCCCAGGAGTGCAGGCCCCCTGGTGTGTCTCAGGCCCCCTGCCTGCCCCACAGGGCCACGTACCTGCATCCACCGATCATCGTTGCTCTGTTCCTTGGAGGGGATGGTCAGCTTGCACTTGGCTTCCTTGGCCAGAGCAGTTACTGATTTCAGGAAGTCCACATTTTCCAGCATCCTAGAAGCAGAAGACAAGCTCCTTAGTGCTCTGGATCCTGGGGGCAGTGGCCTTGGCCAGGCTCCGAGGGGGCAAGCTGGACTCCTAGAGGGTCCCCAGGGCTGGAGCAGGAGCTCAGGCCTGGATGGAGTGGGCAAGGTGCACGGTGGCAGCTCAGGAGATGCCTGTGCCTGGATGGAGAGGCCCGGCTCATCTCGTCTCTCTGCTCTCAGCAAACAGCTCACTGAGCTCTTGCGGCGATCCACGAGGGGACCGGCAGGTTCCCCTTCCATCCAGAGGAGGCCACCATGAGGAGGTCAGTGCTCGAGGTCATGCCATCGGGGTGGGGGGTGGGGGCAGCATCAGGATTCGAACCCAGGCCTTGCTGGCTTCCAGGCTGCGTCCTGACCTCCAGGTAACCACCAGGTTGCCCCTCACCTCTTCTGCCCAGAAGCCGCTGAAAGAGTAGATGGGAAGCTCCTCCCCGAGGCCACAGCATACTCAACAGGTGCTCTCAGAGGGCAAGGTGGACGCCGAGGCTCCCAGAGCAGCTTGTTACAGGGCAGACAGACCCCGGCCCCGGCCCCAGCCCCAGCCCCAGCCCCCAGACCCCAGAGCTCTGAGGTTGGCCAGAAACAGGCATTTGAAATGGTTTCTGGTGCAGAAGGTGCAGAGGCCCCGCACTGAGCCTTGAGGCTGGCTCACGGGCTGAAGGTTTTCATCCATCAGGTCTAGCAAACTCCACGGGCCTTCAGGAGAGAAAGCCGCCCTCAGCCCGCATCAGGGCGGGAAAGTGGGGACGAAACAGTAGCAACAGGAATTTTCCCACCTTTTTATTCCAAACTGGCCAGAGAGAGCAGCAGGGATCGTCTCTCCCCATTTACACAGCAGATATTCAGGGTGTGGGGGGAGGCTGTGGCTGAACCCAGGGCCCCTGGGGGGGTGTCTGTGCCCCGCCCCCTGGCCTCCAGGCGCTCACCTGCACACGTACACCTCCTCCGGGGGCTGAGTGTTGGGGGTCATGATCCAGGGGGCCACCCGGAAGACCACACTATCTTGGAAAAGCAGGGACTCGGGGAGCTCCTGTAAGGAGGGCAAGGGCAGGGCTGCCACGGCCGCCAGGGCCCGACACCCGCTCCTCCCCGGCTGGGCTCCGCACCCCCTGCCTCTAGCGGGACTCGGGGTACCCAGGGACTGCCCTCGGCCTACCGGGTTGGCCGTGTCCAGCAGGGAGACGGTGAGGGAAACGAGCCCCGGGAAGTTGACGTCGGGGAAAGCAAGACCCTCCACGTAGAAGTCTGTGCTGTGCTGGCCTCCGGGGAGCTCCAGGGGGTGGCAGGGCTGCTCTGGCCCTAGGACCGCCCTGTACCTGGAGACCTGTTTGCCCCCTGGCAGAGACAAGGGAAGCCCGAGTCTTAGTCTCCCCGGGGCCGCCAGGCCTTCCCAGGGCCACCACCGTCACGACGACATGTCGCAGCAAAATGAGCCTCCCGTAGGGGAAGGAAACCAGAGCGTCAGCTGGGACGTCGCGCTCCGGCTGGGGGTCCAGGGATGGGGTGATGCGGGTGGGGGGGCGCCCGAGCCGGTCCCGACCACATACATACAAGTCCAACATGCATCAGGGTTCATTCATTCATTCACTCATTCATTCCTGAGCACCTGCTCTCAGCTGGCAGCTGGGGAGACCAGGGACATGGTCACTGTCCTGGTCCCCAGGGAGCGCACAGGCTCCTGGGTGAGCGAGGAGCAGCAGAGATGCTAGTGAGTGCTGTGATGGGGGGACCCCGGAGGGCCGGGGAAGGCTTCCGGAGGAGGTGATGCCTCAGCGGAGGCCAAGACTTGGTCTGTCACTAAATCAGTAGCAGGCTAGTCACTCGGATCTCGCATGGCCTCCCCCACGGCCCTCAGACTGGAAGCCAAAACCGTCCAGGCCTCCCGGAGCTGGCCTGTCCCCCTTCTTCTCCCCGTCATCTGCCATCCGAACGCCCACCCGCCTGCTCCGGTGCTGCTCTCCAGCACGCTGGCCTCCCTGCTCCCTCCCTCAGGCCCACAGGTGCCACCCACCCCAGGGCCTTTGCACTCACGGTTCCCTCTGCCTGGAATGCCCTTCGCCTGGTGCCTGCGCGGCTGTTCCCGCACCTCCTCCGCTCACGTAACTCCTCCCACCCCCGCCCTGGACTCTCCCCCTCATCCACACTCCCCTTCCCTCTTGCTTCTGTGCAGCATTTAACGCCTTCGGACACACTAGATGTTTCATGTAATTATTTTACACTCGGTCTCCCTCAACCACCCAGAGGAAGGGGACACGAGGGCAGGGGCTTTGTTCTGCTCTTTGCTCTACGCCCCGAGCCCCGAGCCCCCCGAGCAGGGCCGGCACGCAGTAGCAGGTGCGGATGCTGGAGGACAAATTATTACGGAATGTGGATGTACGCAGTCGGCTTGGATTCAACAAGCCCCGGAAGCAGGCGTCCTGTGAGCGTGCGTGCGTGCATGTGTGTGCGTGTGCGTGCGTGTGCAGAGAGGAAGACACAGACGCAATTACAGCCGTCCTTGGCAGGGACGGTATTTCCTCCTCGGTGGCCACCAGCACCGGACATCGGCTTGCTGTGTGTTTGCATCTCGTCTGTGTTCCCTTTCTAGAAGGGAGCGGAGGGATGGCCGTCTGGCTCGCTGCCACGGCCTTGGTCCTCAGGACAAGCTACATAACAGGGGCTCGGGAGTTATTCACCGAAAGGGGTGCAAAGGGGCTGTGCCGGGGGTGGGAAGGGGACACCGAGGGGACGGCCAACGATGACTCACGGCTGGCGTGAAACACCCTGACTTTGTCCATCTCCGATTTGGCCACGTGGAGGAGCAGCTGGTGCTTGGCGAAGAAGTCTCTGGGGGTGTTGGTGCTCAGGGTCACCAGGGACATGTCCTCCAGGTCTGGAACGAGAAGACCCTCTCCTCTCTCACTGCTCCCTTCAGATGCCCCTTGACCCCGTCACCTGGGTTTCTTTTCTTTTTTAATTAGTTAATTAAATCAAATTAATTTATTTATTTGAGAGAGAGCACAAGCAGGGGGAGCAGCGGAGGCAGAGGGAGAAGCAGGCTCTCCGCTGAGCGGGGAACTGGATGTGGGGCTCGAACCCAGGACCCCGGGATCATGACCTGAGCCAAAGGCAGATGCTTCACCGACAGAGCCCCCCAGATGCCCCTGGCCTGGTTTTATTTTCTTTGTGCCCCTGCTGGGATTTAAAGGACGATTTTATTTTGGCATCAAAGCTAATGACGTTTTGGGGCTTCTGGCGCTAGAATGAGCTTCCGAGGCGCTCGGGGAAGGGGGGGCCACAACCATCCTGTTTATTGCTCCGTCCCCGGCCCCTGGAGCTTGGAAGCACCTAGAACCGTGATGAGTGCGTGGCAGGCTGCTTGATGACGAGTTGTGGAACCATCCGGGTTTCTGCCCTGGGCCCGAGTGGGAAGTGAACCAACCCGAATAACGGCCAACAAAGGTGAGGGCGGAGCAAAGCTGGACCTCGGTCACCCCCGGGCAGTAGGCACCAGGTTGGGGGACTTGGAGGCACAGGTTGGAGCCCCGGATGTGCATGACCCTGGGAGCTCCTTTGGCTCCCCCAGCCTCTGCGTCCTTGTCGGTCAACAGAGCTCGGAGCAGGGCCCACGCAGAGGGAGGAGGGAGGTGACACGCGGGAAGGGAGCCGGCGCCCTGGGCCCCTTCCGACTGTTCCGTGCGCGGGCACCGCAGAGACGCTGCCCCTCAGCAGGGGGTGGAGACGATCACATGGACCCTCAAAACACACCTGTTCCTGGGCTGTCCTGGCAGGTCCCCGGGAAGGCCCCGCAGCAGGCCCTGCCAACCTCCTCCAGGGCGGGTGGGCCGTGTGTCTTCCACCCCGGCCACACTCAGAGGGTTGCCAGTGGAGGCCCTGTGCCCGCCACCCTCCTTGTGCCCCCAAACCTGGGTCGGGATGCCAGGGGTCCCGGTGCCCGGGCCCAGATCCAGAGCTTGTGACTTACCAGCTGTGTGACCTTAAGCAAATTGCTTCCCCTCCCTGTGCCTCAGTTTCCCCAGCTATAAAATGGGGATGAGGACAGGACGTACCTCCAAGCCTTGTACTCAAGGATCGGATGAGTTAGTGATTCTGAGGTGGTCAGAGCAGTGTCCAGCAGGGGGCAGGGTGGCTAGACTTGACTTTGGGGCAGTAGTGAGGCTTTCATTTTGATTTATTCCCCAGGTCCCAGGATTTGACTCAAGAGCAGAAATGTAGGTCGGGCAGCAGATGGGAACATGGGGCCCAGAGGCGTTGGGAGACTCGGGCCTGGTCCCAGCTCTTCTCTGGCTGCTGTGTGACCTTGGGTGGGTCACCTACCCTCTCAGGACCTTGTCTACTCTTCTTATACAACGGACAAGCTAGGGGCAACCGGGTGGCTCAGCGGGTCGTGCCTTCAGCTCAGGTCACAATCCCGGGGTCCCAGGATCGAGTCCCACATCGGGCACCCCGCAGGGAGCCTGCTTCTCCCTCTGCCTGTGTCTCTGCCTCTCTCTGTGTCTCTCATGAATAAATAAATAAAATCTTAAAAAGAAAAACCCAATGAACAAGCTAATAAGAACACGCTTCTTATAACCCCCATTTCTGAGGCCTGATACTAAGCTCAGGCTGCGTAGACAAGAGGGTTTTACAAAAAGGCAAAGCTCTATTTCCCTTACTCTCTGGGCAGGGGGAGGCTGGGCGTGGGGGTCCTTACCTTTGCTGTCAACCACCTCATCATCCCTGCAGTCCATGGTGGAAGATTTGGGCTTGTCTCTGTCACAGTTCACCAGCAGGATGGCGCCTTGCCCGTGGGGGCCCCAGGTCCAGGTCCTCTGTGGACACCCAGCAGAGACGGGGCATGTTGAGCAACCGTGTGCGTCCCTCCAACTCGTGGGGAAGCCCAGCCACCTTTCCCCAGCACCTCGATAGTCTTGTGCCATTTACACATCTCGATCCTACACCAGCTAATTCTTTGGTCCCCAAGAGAGTCTTGTTTGCCTGCTCCAAAAACCCTAAACAAGTTCACCAAAAATGCAATTCATCCACTTCAAAAAAAAAAAAAAGCTTTGCTGTTTTGCAAAACTGATTTTCGCAGCTTTACAAAAACTGTCGGATTGGCAAACCGGACCGTGCTAAATATTTATGTCAAGATCCTAATCTCAATAGTTGCCTTGTGTGAACTCTTAATTACTCATTCACCAAAGTGTGGGTGCTATTCTTAGCAGCCAGTTGCTGTGTGTCCAAAGATCAAAGCAAATTAAGCAGCCCCTCCCGGCAGGGACGTGTTAGTGATGACGTCTTGGTTTGCAGGACAGCATTGGCCCCGGGGAATGACCGCGTTCTGGGTGGGACGTAAGCGCGGATTCCACTCCGAGGTTGTAATTCCTCCCTCCCCTCTTGGCTGACCCCACAGAGGGATCCTCATCTCTTGATGGCCCATGTCCTCCTAAAGTGCACACCAGCATTAAACCGTGCAGGCGGCTTTGGGGTTTCAGGGACACCCTGAGGTTTTTCCGCAGACCCAGTTAACGCCACCTGCACGCCCCGCTTCTGCACACCCCACTTACTCTGCCTTTAGGCTCCAGACTCTCCTGCCCCCACGTGGCTCCTTCCCTCCTCTGCCCCCTGCCAGGTCGCCCTTTCTCTAGTCTTCACTCCCCGTGGGCAGCTCCGCGGGACCCTCTCCCACCAGCCCAGAAACCCTGGGGTGGGGGAGTTTTATTCCCCCCCTCCCACCCGAGTGAAGAACTGCCTACAAATTTTTTTCTCGGCTGTGCATTAACCGGGTGACTCTGTAGTTTCGAATTTGTGGGACAACACATTCTCGGGACTCACAATTGGTGAGAATCTAGTTTTGCAAAAGAAATGGGGAAATACATAGAGCAAAATGGCAAAGGCAATTTGGGGTTTCTCCTTTCTGCTGTTCTTCAAGGGACAGGCGGCCATTCGTGTGGCCACCACCAGGGGGCACCAGAGGAGAACCCAGCGGAAGGGGGAGCACCTGGAGGCCAGGTGGCTCAGCGTACCTGGCCCTTCCTGGCTCCGGCAGGCTTCACTTTGCCCGTGCGGGCGATGTCCGCGCTCAGGGAGATTTCTGCAATCCCACCAAGTGAGAGGAGAGGGTTGGTGAGGGTACGAGGGCAGGGACTCAGGGTGGTCCCACCGGATAATCCTCCCTCCCACCCCGGGGATGACCTGCCCCATGGCTTCTCTCCCTCCCCTTCAGAGGAGACACAAATTCAAGGACACCCCCATGTCCCCAGGGAAGATGTTTGACTGCAACTGGGACAGCAGAGCTGGAGCTTCTGGCCACACCCATCCTCCTTTGCCACAGCTGAGGCCAACACATCTGGCCACCTTCAGGGGCCCAGAAAGAATTCCCAGCCACCCCAATGGGACTCTTGGTGCAAAACCCCTGCAAGGACACCTAGCCAGGCTCTCACAGGCCTCTGGCTCCAACTCCAGCCCCCAGTGACCTCGGGGCAGGGGACACAGTGGTTAATCCAACCCCACCTGGCTCTTCTTTGTGTGCATTATAGCTACACTGGGGCCAAATCATACACACCCCACTCTATCCAAATGTCAAGACCGAGAAAGCACACATCTGTTTCTAAATCCCTCCCACCGGGATCCCTGGGTGGTGCAGCGGTTTAGCACCTGACTTTAGCCCAGGGCGCGATCCTGGAGACCCGGGATCGAATCCCATGTCCGGCTCCCGGTGCATGGAGCCTGCTTCTCCCTCTGCCTATGTCTCTGCCTCTCTCTCTCTCTCTCTCTCTCTCTCTGTGACTATCATAAATAAATAAAAATTAAAAAATAAATAAATAAATCCTTCCCACCCTCATCAGAACACGTGATCAGTCTTTCCAGTGACATAGATCCATGTACCTACATCGTATGTAGCGACGTGGGGGGCTCACGGGAGGACACTGACCTGGATGACCTTTTAAACACACCCATAACCGTGTGTTAGTGTCAGGCCAGAGCCACAGAGAGTCTAGGGCTCTGGATTTCCCGGCTCCTTCACTAACCAGCTGCATGAACTTAGGCAAGTCTGTCTACCCCTTGTGCCTCAGTTTACTCATCTGTAAAATGGAATATAATAGTGCCGATTTCACGGAATCGTTGTAGGGTTTAAATGTAGGGTCTCCCGGGATCGAATCCCACATCGGGCTTCCGGTGCATGGAGCCTGCTTCTCCCTCTGCCTGTGTCTCTGCCTCTCTCTCTCTCTGTGACTATCATAAATAAATAAAAATTAAAAAAAAATGTAGGGTCTCAGTGCAGTGCCTGGTATAGAATGAGTGCTATGTTATTCATATGATTTAAATGCGTGCTCATGAAATAAATGTGTATTACCAAATGAAATTCATCAACGAAATGAAACCTGAAGTTTTCCCATGCTGCTCTGACGTTTAGTGCCCATCTAAATGGTAATAGTCATCTTACCATATTATTGTTCAAGATGAGGTCAAGTAAGAAAATGATTTAAAGAAGAATGTGAAATAAATATGAGTCTGTGCAGATCGTTGATACAGCAAAACAGTAAAGATGGGATGGAAGTCATGGCATTTGGGGAATATCAGTATATATATTATCGTATATGACATTGACATCATCTACATTTCTTATAGATGTTTGAAGTATCAAAAAGGTGTAGAGATTCATATGTGGAAATCCATGCACCACTTCCTAAGTTGAGAAAACATTAAGATGTAACTGAACTCCCTGTAAATGCACTCTCCTCTCTTCCCAGTTGAATTTATGGCTCATAAGCTGGGGAGGGGATATTTATGAGCCACCACATATATGACTAGCTAGAAATTGTCCCTTTTCTCTGCTCAGTCTAAGGTAAGCTCCAGAGTGTATTTTCTCCTGGAGAGACCCATAGCAATGGCGTGTGTGTGGAGGGAAAGGCAGTGGCATCCCAAGATCCTGGTCAATCACTTACCAACACCGGTGACATAGAGCAGGGCTTGGACTGGGTTGGTCTTGGGTCCATAGTATGAAATCTGAACCTAAAAGACAGAGCAAACCACAGAGGTCTTCTCTTAGTCATTCAACAAACTAACTGGACCCCTGCTGTGTGCCAGTTCAGGGTGAGAGGCCGAGGAAGAGACAAGGATGAGCAAGAAGTGGTGCCAGCCTATAAGAAGCATCCCAACCGGTGGGCATGGAGGGGTAGCAAAGTACTCCAATGCCTACGCCACTTAAATGAGGGTGCTGTGGGAGCCAGGAATGGAAGGGCTGTTTGGGTCTGTCCCATAGATAGTGGGGATCCAGGGAGATGTCACGGCCACCATCGCCTCATGTCTAGGCCATGGCACCAGCCTCTAGTGGATTGCCTGGATCCAATCTACTCAGGACACTGCAGCCCACGGGGTCTTTCTAAGACAAGCAGACTTCTTACTCCCTGGATGACAGGTTTTCCCTGGCTTCCTGTTGCCTTCAGAAAATGACATCCCTGATGCCAAACTCTCTAATACTGCTCCCTCATTCCCCACTTCCCTCTTCACCATCTTTTCTTGCCAGATAGATCTTCCTCAGTTTCCCCAACACATGCCTGGTCATCTCTTCATCTAGAGTGTGCATACAGGCCACATGCCCCGTAGAGTTCTCACTCCACTTTCTCTCTCTGAGGTGGGTCATTCCTTGCATCCTTTAGCTTGCCATCTCTTCCAAGAACTTTCCCGATTGCATCCTCATCCTCACCCTCAACCTACTTTGATGCCCAAGTTCTATGCTCCTACAGCAGGCAACAACTCTGCCCCAAGGTGAAGACTGCTTGGCCTGCCCTGCTGGAAACAAGTGCTCATTGGCCCAGATCTCTGTGGGAACCCTAAAGGGTCCTGTTGAGCCCATCTGCAGTCACAGGGGGATGCAATGAGTTGAGTGGTGGTCCTGAAAAAGCTATGTCCACAGCCAAATCCCTGAAACCTATGAATGTGACCTTATTTGGAAAAAAGGTCATTGCAGATGTAGTTAAGGGTCTTGAGATGAGATGGTCATGAATTACCCAGGGAGGACTTAAATCCAACGACTAGTGTCCTCATAAAAGTGAGGCAGAGGGAGATTTGACAGCCTGAGGAGGGGGACCGAGACCACAGAGGCAGAGATCAGAGTGACACGGCCACGAGTTTAGGAAGCTGAAGCTGAAGGATGCAAAGAACTGGTTCTTCCCCAGAGCCTCCAGGAGTGCCGCTCTGCAGACACCTTGATTTTGGGCTTCTGTCCTCCAGAGAGGATACAACTCTGTTGATATAAACCAGTAATTTGTGGTCATTTGTCCAGGAGCCACAGGAAACGAATGGACATGGAGCAGAGCTTCCAGCCTGCCAGGCTGTGGCCTTATAGCCTCACCACCACTTATAATGGCTTACCTGTAAGCCATTACATGTGTTGGTTGTAAGCCCCCTGCAGGCTGCAACCTCACCTGATCTGTTCCCTTCTGTGTCTCCAGAGCCTGGTAGTGCCCAGCATGTAGGAGGTGAATACTAAACACCTGCTGAATGGATGAATTTAATAAAAACCCGGCCTCTATGAACCCCTGGCATCCCTGTATTGTCTGTGAGGATGCTGTAGCTGGAATAGTCACCATAGTATCCAGAGAGGAGGAAGCTCTACAAGGGGCTGGGGCTGTGGGACAATGGGAGACAGACCATGGGTAGCTGACCTGCTGCAACCTGCTGCAACCTGCTGACCTCCTCTCACACATCCCACCTCACAGCTGCCACACTCACCTTTTGATCACCTGTGCTACTGCTGGCGGCTCTCATCCTCAGGCTCACCTCCAGGCTGGGGTCCAGGGACCACTTGGAGGAACCTGTGGAATTCTTTTTGGCTGGACGACTGTGGCCAACATCCACAATCACTCCTGGGGAAGCATTGATGCTGAAGGATGTGTAGCCCGTGGGGGCAGAGCTGTGGAAGAGACAGTGGGGAGGACAGAGAGACATAGTGAGGGAGGCCTGGCCCCGCATTCTTGCTTTTCAACCAACAAGTGTAAACACCACATGGCAGCCAGGTGACCCTAACTGTGGGGGTAAGTGCTGTGAGGTTGTTGGGAGGTAGTAAGAAACAAACAAACAAAAAATCTCCTGACCTGAAGGACTTATATTTGAACTAGGAGAATTACAGAGCTATGTGCTTACCAAATGCACACACACAGCATATACTGTATATGTATAGCAGACAGCACACCCAGAGTTTACACCACACAAGTGTGCGCACAGAGGACCATGTATTTGTAAACAACCACAGACTTCTGCTTTTGGAATATGGTACACCAGTACTCTGAAGGACCTTCCTCTTACAAAACAACTAGATCCTGATTAAAGTATACTTTTTAGGGCACTGTTGAGATCATGAGACATAAGGGAGGATCTCCAAGGACTCCCTTCTCTGTATGCACATGCACACACACACATACACACCATGGGGGTTAAACTGAGGAACACCAAAAACAAAGAGGAGATATTGAAGGTATCCAGAAAGGAGAGTCAGAACATCTACAATGGAATTACTAGTAGATTAAAAGCAGGCTTCCTAATAGCAACAATGAAATCCAGAAGACAGTTGAATAACATGAATCTTCAGGATATTTTTGAAAAAAATAACTGTTACTTAGATTTGTGTACCCCACTAAATTATCTATTTTTTAAAGATTTTATTTTATTTTTTTTTATTTAAGAGAGTGAGAGGGAGAAGGAGAGAGAGAGAGAGAGAATGAGTGGTGGGGATGGGTAGAGGGGAAGACAGAAACAGACTTTCTGCTGAGCAGGGAGCCCAACATGAGGCTTGACCCCAGGATCCCCAGATCATGACCTGAGCCAAAGGCAGATGCTTAACTGACTGAGCCACCCAAGTGCGCCAAGAAAAAAAATTGTACAGATAAAAATACCAAAGGGGTAAAAACAAGTCCAAATATATGAATAATCAAAATAACTGTCAATGTATCAATGTTACTAGTTAAAAGAGAGTTTTGACTGAAACAAAACTCATCTATATAATATTTATAAGAGGCACATCTAAAATATAAGGATCCAGAAAAGATGAAATATAAAGGAAAGGAAAAACATACATTAAGCCAATACTGATCAAAAGGGAGCTGGAGTGGGTATGTTAATATCAGACAAAATTAATTTTGTATAAAAAAATTAATAAATTTTTAATAAAGCCATGATCATAGTTGAAGACTTCAAGTCTTCTTTCTCAATCAACAATAGATTAAGCAGACAAAAAATTAGTAACACAATTGACAAGGTCAATTTAGTACACATATATAGAATTCTTTGCTCCACAACTAGTGAATATACATTTTCCCAAGCAAAGTGCACGTGGATCAGTAAAAAACATTGATCACATAGTTGGCTATCAAAGCAAAGTTGCAACAAATGCTAAAGAACAGGTCACATACAGTGTAGGTAGCACATTCTTTGATCAGAACGTAACTAAGCTAGGAACCACTAACATAAAGTCCATTTTTAAATACCCCATACACTTGGCAATTTTAAAATCAGACTCCTATATAACTTAACAAGGCAAAGGACAATTAATGGAAATTAAATAATAATACTTAGAACTGAGCAATACATAAAATGCTACATTTCAACACTTTTGGGGAGCTAAAGGTGTTGCTTTGTGCCTTAAATGCCTAGATCTTCAAAAAGAAGAGAAAAGCTAAAATATGAGTATATAGGATAAAACAGAAAAATAAAATACAATGTAATATACTCCCCCAAAAGAAAATAAAGATGGTAGAAATCTGTGAAATATAAATCAACAGAGCCAAAATAGACTGATACAACTGGTAAAACTCTGGCAAGACTGATCAAAGGAAAAAAAATAGAAAAATGGGAAAAAAATCCATATAGGAAAAGGAGATTATTTTGTAGATAATTGATAAAAGGTTACAAAAATCCCAGAGCATGATTATCTGCAACCTCTCCCCCAAACTTTAAACTTTGAATTTAAAAGATACACTAAGGGGATCCCTGGGTGGTGCAGTGGTTTGGCGCCTGCCTTTGGCTCAGGGCGCGATCCTGGAGACCCGGGATCAAATCCCACGTCGGGCTCCCTGCATGGAGCCTGCTTCTCCCTCTGCCTGTGTCTCTGCCTCTCTCTCTCTCTCTCTGTGACTATCATGAATAAATAAATAAAATCTTTAAAAAAAATAAAAAAAATAAAAGATACACTAAGAATTTAATAAGGTAGGTAGTAAGGTGGAGAGGCAAAAATCAGCTGCATTTCTGTACATCAGCAATAGTTAGAAAAATAATTTTTATAAGCAGATATAATTTACATTAGGAAAAATCCCTGTAAAGTACTTAGGCTACATCTAACAAATGATATGTAAGGATTTTATGGAGAAAAACAAACCTATTCAAAGCACTAGAGAAGACACAGATTAATAGAAAGAAATACGACATAGTTAGAAACGCTTAATATCATTAATGTATGAATTCCCTCCAAATGAATGGATATATTCAATGGAATTCTAGGACATTTCATGGACTTTGACAAGTTGATTCCAAGATTGACAAAACCAAGCTGCTTAGACAGTCGACGTACTCTTGAAGGAAAAATAGCAAAAGGTGAGGGACTTGCTCTACCAGGTGTAAGTTACCAGAAAGCCATGGATGGTGCTGTGATGGCTCAGGCAGGGACAAACAATAGATATAGCTGAGAGAGACTGTCCTTGATCTGAGACAGAGGTGGTCTTGCAGATAACCGGGCAAAGGGAAAATGACGTCACAAATGGTGCTGGGACAATGGCTTGTCCAGGTGGAAGACAGTTAAATAGGATAAATAATTAAACTGATCCCACCTTCACACCATATACAAAAACAAGCTCCAGGTGGATTTAGGACTTAAAAATGAAAGGCAAACATTTGAATATTTAAAAAAAAATAGATCTTCTCTTTTAGAGAAGTTTTAGGTTTATAGTAAAATTGAGAGGAAGGGACAGAGATTTCCCGCGTATCCCTTGCCCCCCGCTCCCATGCACAGCCTGCCCCATTATTAGCATCATCCCCTGGAGTGGAATATTTGCTAAAATTGGTAGGTCAACGCTGTCACATCATAAACGCCCTAAATCCACAGTTTACATTATGTTTCCCTCTCGGTGTTGTGCATTCTATGAATTTAAACAAATGTACATATAATGACTTGCAGCCACCATTATGGTATCATACAGAGTAGTGTCATCGCCCCAAATACCCTCTGTGCTCTGCCTACTTAGCCCTCCTTCCCCCAACCCCTGGCAACCACTGATCTTTTACTGTTGCCATACTTCTGTCTTTTCCAGAATATCATACAGCCAGGGTCATAGCAACCTTTTCAAATTGGCTTGTTTCTTAGTAATATGCATTTTAAGTTTCCTCCGTGTTTTTTCATGGCTTGATAGCTCATTTCTTCTTAGCACTGAATAATATTCCATGGCCTAGATGGGCCACAGCTTGTTCATCCATTCACCTACTGAAAGGTTTCTTGGTTGCTTCCAGGTTTTGGCAACTGTGGACAAAGCTGCTCTAAACATCCATGTGCAAATTTTATGTGGACATAAGTTTTCTTTTTTTTAAAGATTTTTAAAATTTCTTTATTCATGAGAGACACACAGAGAGAGAGAGAGAGAGAGAGAGGCAGAGACACAGGCAGAGGGAGAAGCAGGCTCCATGCAGGGACCCCTATGCGGGACTTGATCCCAGGACCCCAGGATCACACCCTGAGCCGAAAGCAGACACTCAACCGCTGAGCCACCCAGGTGCCCTACATGGACATAACTTTTCACCCCCTTTGGGTAAATATCCGAGAAGTCTAATTACTGGACTGTATGACAAAAGTATGTTTAATTTTATAGGAAATCACCAAACTGTCTTCCAAAGTGGCTATCCCATCTTGCATGATCACCAGCAATGGAACCAGAGATCCTATTCGTCTGCATCCTGTCCAGCATTTGGTGTTCTCAGTGTTCTGGATTTTGGCCATTCTAATAGGTATGAAGCAGCATCTCATGGTTGTTTTAATTTGCATTTCCCTGATGGCATATCACGTGGTGGAGCATCTTTCACATGCCTCCCTGCCATTTGCATACCTTCTTTGGTCTGTTAAGATTTTAGCCCATTTTTTAACCAGGTTGTTCATTGTTGTTTTAAGAGTTATTTGTATAGGGGCACCTGGGTGGCTCAGCGGTTGAGCGTCTGCCTTCAGCTCAGCTCATGATCCCAGGGTCCCGGGATCGAGTCCCGCATCATGCTCCCTGCAGGGAGCCTGCTTCTCCCTCTGCCTGTGTCTCTGCCTCTCTCTCTGGGTCTCTCATGAATAAATAAATAAAATCTTTAAAAAAAATGTTTTGTATGTTTTGGGTAACAATCCTTTATCAGATGTACCTTTTGTAAATATTTTCTCCCAATCTGTGCTTTGTCTTATTTACTCACTTTACAGTCTTTTTTAGAGCATAACTTTGAAATTTTAATAAAGTCCAGCTTATTAATTCTGTCTTTTCTAGATGGCACCTTTTGTGTCATATTTAAAAAGTCACTGCCAAACCCAAGGTCGTCTAGATTTTCTCCTGTGTTACCTCTTGAGAATTTTATAGTTTTCCGTTTTACATTTAGGTCTATGGCCTATCCTGAGTTAATTTTTGTGAAGGGTGTAAGGTCTGTGTCTAGATTCCTTTTTTGGATGTGGATGTCCAGTTCTTCCAGTACCATTTTTTGGAAAAAACCTCCTTTTTCCATTGTATTGCCTTTGCTTTTTCTCAGAGGTCAGTTGATTATACTTATGTGGACCCATTTCTGGGCTACTATGTTCCATTTATTTAGTTCTCTTTTGTTTGCCAATACCACACTGTCTTGATTATAACTTTATAATAAGTCTTTATAATATAATGTCAGTTCTCCAACTTTCTTCTTCTTCAATATTGTGTTAGATATTCTGAGTTTTTTACCTATCCATTTAAACTTTAGAATCAGTTTGTCAATATCCACAAAATGGGATTGCATTGAATCTATAGATCAAGCTGGGAAGAACCGGTACCTTGACAATATGAATCTTCCTATCCATGAACATGGAATATCTCTCTATTTATTTACTGCTCTGATTTCTTTCAGCAGTTTTGTAGTTTCCTCATATAGATATTATACTTATTTTATTAGGTTTATACCTAAGTATTTCATTTTGGGGAGAATGCAAATGTCAGTAGTATCGTGTTTTTAAATTTCAAACTCCACTTGTTTTTTGCTGGTAAGTAGGGAAATGATGGACTTTTTAACTCTGTATCTTGTCGTCTTGCCATAATAGCTTGTTAGTTTTAGGATTTTTTTTTTATTAATTCATTTGGATTTTCTACACAGATGATCACATCACCTGCAAACAAAGACAGGTTTATTTCTTTCCGATTGGCATCTCTCATATTTCTCTTCCTAGTCTCATTGCACTTGCTAGGAATTTTAGTATGATGTTGAAAAGCAGTGGTGAGAGGGGACTCTTTGCCTTGCTCCTGGTTTTGGTGGAAAAGCTTCAAGTTTCTCACCATTAGGTTGATGTTAGCTGCGGGTTTTTGTAGATACTCTTTATCAGGTTGAGGAAATTCCCATCTAAGTTTACTGAGAGTTTTATCGTAAGTAAGTGTTGGCATTTTATTTTATTTTTTTTTAAGTGTTGGCATTTAAAAAAAAAAAAAGATGAGGGATCCCTGGGTGGCGCAGCGGTTTGGCGCCTGCCTTTGGCCCAGGGCGCGATCCTGGGGACCCAGGATCAAGTCCCACGTCGGGCTCCCGGTGCATGGAGCCTGCTTCTCCCTCTGCCTGTGTCTCTGCCTCTCTCTCTCTCTCTCTCTCTCTCTGTGTGACTATCATAAATAAATAAATAAATAAATAAATAAATAAATAAAATATATAAAAAAAAAGATGACACAGGCATCTTTATGCCCTTTCTTAAACAAGATATAAAAGCAATAAACATTAAAGGAAAGGGGCACCTGGGAGGCTCAGTGGGTTAAGCATCTGCCTTCAGCTCCACAGGGAGCCTGCTTCTCCCTCTCCCTCTGCCTCTATCTGCTGCTCTGCCTGCTTGTGATCTCTGTCAAATAAATAAAATCTTTTAAAAATAAAATAAGATAAAGAAAGAAAAGATTTAAGTTCAACTAGATGAGAATAAATAACTTCTGTTCATCAAAGGACACTATGAAGTGAAAAAGCCTTATCGTAATCTACAGAGAAGACCGCGCTTAGCGTCTGCCACTCTTGCATTCAGTGGTTCACACAATCCATACGGGACGGGGCACCTGCCAGACACTAGGCATGCCTCGTGCAGTTTAACCCCCACCACAGCCCGGCAGCATGGATGCAAATAGTCCCATTTTACAGATGGGTAAACTGAAGCTCAGAGACTTGTCCATGCTCTCTGCCGTCACCCTGAGTGGCCATCTGCTGAGAAGGAGACACTGGGAGGAAAAGGAGAATCCTCCTAATTGCAGTGCCAGAGCATCTACCATCTTTCGTGGTTGACAACTTCCAGACCGCACCACACTCCACCCCATTCTAGGCCTCCCAAGCTGTCTGGAAGCTCCCTGAGCTCCACCAACCAGGCAGCAGTGCCCAGTGAGGCCAGCCCCACAGCACTCAGAGGCCACATGTGCTAGGGAAGCAGAATGAGTTTGGGGTTGTATAGTCCTGGGTTTGAATTTCCTGGCTTCCTCACCTTGAATTTGCATGACCTTGACACCTCAGTTTACTCATCTCTAAAATGGGTGTGATGCTCATTAGAAATCAGGGACAGAAGGACCTGGCACCTAGCAGCAGGGGTCGTGATAGCTCCCTGACTCTAGCCACAAGCACCACGGAAAGCCCTCCGCAGGTTTCAGTATTCATCTCAGGTCAGTGGGATTTTGCTGGAATATAATCAATGTGTTTCCCGTTGCGGGAGAGGTACTTACCAAGTGCAGAGTGAAAAATCACAAGCAGCGTTTTAAGGGCAGCTCTGGATAGGAGCCCACACTCTTGGGTCTGCTCCTGCCTCTGCAGCCCTGTGCTTCTAACCCTGGGGGCTCTGAGCCCAGTGACAGAGGTCACGCTCCGGCGGGGGGTGGTGTGCAGGTGCCGGGAGCAGGTCAGGGGAGCGGCACTGGGGAGGAGGCAGTGCCAGCCCGTCTGTGCAGGGAGAGAATCCAGGCCACAGTCAGGGTGGTGGCCGCTCAGGGGACGGGCTGAAGGCGCTGGCCGGGGGCTGCTGTCATGAGCAGGTCGGAAGAGAGAGTGAAGGGTCTCAGCCAGGCTGTCTGTGTTTGAACCTATGAGCTGTGTGGCCTCAGGGGAGTTACTGAACCTCTCAGAGCCTCGGCTTCCCCTTCTGCCAAATGGGAGCAACAGCACTGCCTGCCTCGTTAGGCTGATGAATGCATTCTGCGTAGGCAGCAGGGTGGCAGCCCCAGCTGTTGTCCCTGAGACATGCAGGGGGTGGGATGTGTCACTGAAGGAGGAGCCCACTCTTGGAAGGGTCATGGGGCCTCAGGCGACCTCGGCCTCTCTTTCCCTTTGCCCTTAACCTCCCATCTCCTGCCTCCCCTCCACAGCTCCAGGAAGCACCCCCAGACCTTTGCTGCTGCTCTTCCAAGGCCCAGATGCAGGCAGCCAGTGACACGTTTAAGGAAATGCCCCCAGACACCCGTGTGGGCACCGTTCTAGGACCACACATGTCCTGGAGGGGGGAAGCCAGGGGAGGCCCCGACTATTGCTCATTACAACGACACCAACCGGGCACACTTGTCGAGCATCCCTAGACCATTTTGTTTAACCAGAGCCTGGCCCAGGCTTGGCACATAGTAGGTGTTCAGTCGGTATAGGATGGAAGGTTGGATGGATGGATGGATGGATGGATGAACAACCACCAGCAGTACGTCCAGCTCCGTGCTAAGTACGGACACACTCCCATGGTCTTTCACATTTAATCCCTCTAACCACCCTAGGAAGTGGGTATTATCTCCATTTCACAGAAGGGGAACGTGAGGCTCCGTTGGCCAAAGCCACCAGCTGGCCCACAGCAGGGACGGCCCTCCCGCCCCAGCCTCTTCCAACCCCGAGCCTGTCCCATCACGTGTATGATATTACACAGCCGTGGAGCGAGGCTTGGCTGCGAGGTAGGGGGTAACAATCTGCATCATAAACCAGGTGTGGGTCATGAAGCCAGGGCCCGGCCTTCCTCCCAGGGCACACCTGCTGTGTGGCCTCAGGCAAGTCATAGACCCTCTCTGAGCTCCAGTGCCTCATTGGTGAAAGGAGAGGGTCCTGTGGGCCCTGTGATAATTCACTGGTGGTGAGGCCTTGAGTCCACGCACATCCCTGGGCCACTCAGTTCCCACCCTCCAGCTTTCCCCCGGCCACAACCTGAAGCCGGAGCCAACTGCACACCCCGTGCCTTTGGAACCTGCTCCCCAGCCTCCGTGGCCCTGTGCCCCGCCCCCGGGACGGCCCTGCTCACCTGTAGACATCCAGCTGAGTTTCGGTGCCCAGCACGCACACGGCATAGGTGGACTGCTCCGGGGCCACGTGGATCACCGAGCCCTGGGCCATGGTCCCGCCAGCCCGTCCCTCCAGCTGCACGAAGCCCCTCGACTGCTTCCTTTATACGGCCCAGCAGAGCCATGAGTCAGCACCTGCGGTTTACAGGCAGCCCAGCCCCTCCCCACTCAGGTCCCGGGGCGGGTTCTCTCCACCCTTCGTGCCCCGGAGCTGCCCCTCAGACCCGGGCCGTGTGAGCGTCGGTGCCAGAACCAGGGCAGGCAGGCTGGCTCCGTCAGTCTCCCGGGAAGGCCCGGGGCTCAGGACACCGGTGGGGCAGGGGAGTGGCGAGTGCAGGGGTGCGTCCTCCGGGGACAGCCCCATGGGCGCCTGGGCCGGGCCGTGAACACCTGAGTGCGGCCAACCTTGCCTCACGGTGCCAAACACAGTCTCAGACAGGAGGAGGCGCTCGGGAGGTTGCAGCTGGAGCTCACCCCCCACCCCCTCCCCGGGCAACACATTCGAAGACGCGCATGGCCTGGGACAGGTCCCCGCAGGCTGGGCCCCCACGTGACAGCTCACCGCCTCGGGTGTGTTCTGTGCACCAGGCGACTAACCCCATGAGGCACGTGGGGTAAACGCTGTCATCCTCTCCCCACTGGGTCCCCACGGCAGCTCCCCGAGGTCGGAACCACCATCGTTCTCACGGGGCAGAAGAAACTGAGGCACAGAGAAGCCAAGTGATACCCCCGAGTCTCCCCAACCCTTGGAGAGTGCGCCGGGCCCCAGACCACCTTCTCCAGGCCCAGAGCCCCTCTTCTGTGTGGGCGGATGAGGCGGCCACTGACGCTGCGGCACGGCCCCGTGGCTCCTTGCACACAGCCGGGCCTAATAAACCCACTTTCTCCAGCTGGTCACGGGGTTAGGACTAGTTTGAGCTCCGGACGGAAGCCGGGAGAGGGGACTGTCACCACCAGACCCGACTCACCACCAGATCCGGTCACCCTGTGGACGGGGGCCCGAGGCACCGAGAGGGCTGACATGCCCACTGTCACCCAGCACATCAGCGGCAGGGCTGGGATCTATCCTAAGCCTTAGGCCTCCGGGAGTGATTTTTTATTTTTCCTTTTTGCCCTGTTTTTCTTCAGCATCTTGGGGGTTCACATTGGCTATGAATAAGCCACAGAGAGAACAAGCCCAAAGCAGTTTTATCAACTCAACAAATATTTCTTGGTTGCCTACTGTTTGCCAGGCCTGTTCCGGGCGCTGAGGATGCGAAGTGAACAAAGCAGACAAATATCCAGCCTTCATAGGAGCTTTTCTTTTTTTAATAGAAAGAGACAGCCAATAGGCAATAAATAAGTGAATTGCACAGTATGTTAGCATTGCGGAAAAATGAAACGATAGGGCACGGCAAGGGGTGAATTGTGATTTCAAATTAGGGTGGTCAGAGGAGGTGACATCTGAGGGAGATGGCAATGTGGATATTTGAGGCCAGCACAACCAGTGCAAAGGCCCTGAGGCAGGGACATGCCTGGGGGCGGGTTCAAGAAAGCAGGAGACCAGTGTGGCTGGAATGCAGTGGAGGAAGGGACAGGGGGGACAGTGCTAGGAGCTGGGGGACAGATCACAGAGGGCCTTGCAGGCACTGCGAGGACTTTGGATCTACCCCCAAGAGATGTGGGAGACATAGGGACGTTTTGAGCCAAGGAGGCCCATGGTCTGATCTGTCTGGCTGCTGTGGGATAATCAACCATGAGGAGACCAGCGAGGAGGCCACTGCCCTCTGGCAGGTGGTAGATGATGCGGCCAGGCCGCGGTGCTGGCAGAGGAGGAGGTGAGAAGCGCTCAGACCTACGCTGACCCTACAGCCAGTATGACTGACATGGACCCGATGGGGGCCTTCAGGGGTTCCATCAGGAATCAGGGGGTTCTCCAAGATCCAGGGAGGCCTGAGCCCCCGGAGGGATGGAGCAGGCACCTACTGACGGGGAGGGCTGGGGAGGGCCAGGCTTGCAGGCGGCGTGGCGATCAGGAGTTTGGTCCTGGCGACGCTGAGCGTGGGCTGTCTATTCGAGTCTGTGTGGGGACACCCTGCAGGCCGTTGGTTGGGCACGCGATTCTGGAGTTGGAGAGGACCAAGCTGAAAAGGATAAATCTGCGGGAACATCAACATCTAGAGCTTCCCTAGGAAATGAGCACGGATGGGTCGCTGTGAGAAACCAGCCTTGTCTCTCTCTCTCTCTCTCTCTCTCACACACACACACACACATGCTTGCACACCCGCACACGCGGAAAGCAGCCGTACCTCAGAAGCAAAGCCTTTTTGCAGACTCACATGCTCCGGCTGGCAGAGCAGGGATGAAAGTGGGCCGGGCAGGGCTGAGGGTACACAGACCGTCGGGGAGCGCGGACACCGCCCGTGCCAGCACCCCGGCTGCATCGTTGCACCGCTGCTCCCTGTCCTGGCTCGGCAGCATCGCTAAATAGCCCAGGCTGGGGCCCTAAACTACCGAAATGTATCTTCTCGCAGTTCTGGAGGCTGGGAGCCCGAGATCCCGGGGCCAGCGCGGTGGAGTTCGGCGGGGACCCTCCTCCTGGCTTGCAGGTGTCCTCTCGTGCATGGCGGGCGAGTGGGGGCGGGGAGGCGGGCAGAGGAGCCCACCCCCACGACGGATTACCTACCGTGGACCGGCCCCTGTCCAAATACCACACTGGGGGTTAAGGCTTCAACTTAGGAATTTGGGGGGAGCCACGATTCAGTCTGCAGCACAGTTGGACCCAAAGGCTGTTTGCAGATTTCCAGCATATAAACCACGCCGTGATGCACAAACCGCCTCCATGTCTGGGCGCGTGGGTGATTCGGTCAGCTAAGCATTCGACTCTTGGTTTCAGCTCAGATCACGTTCTCAAGGCTGTGGGATCGAGCTGAGTCAGGCTCCATGCTCAGCACAGGGTCTGCTTGGGATTCTTTCTCCCTCCCACTCTGGGACTCCCCCTGCTGTCTCTCTCTCTCTCTCAAAAAAATAAATAAAATATTAAAAAAAAACCAACAACAACAAATTGCATCCATGTCTGTGGCTGTTTTGCAGGGACTTCATGGGTTGATCTTTGCTTCTCTTTATTCTCTTACTGGGCATTTTGGTTTTTTCCTGAAATTTGCCATAGCTTCTCATTATGTGTATGTGTTTCAATGTCTGTTCCCTAATCAACCATGAGAGCAGAGCTTCTGTAGGTCTCACCTGCACCCCGGAGCCTAGAACAGCTCCTGACTCATAGTAGGTGCTCATTAAACATCGCAGCTGAAGACTGCGGTCTTCTCCAGCGCCCAGCCCCATACTGGACCCCAGGGTGGGGGCTGCGAAGGACAGCTTCCTGCGAGGATCCCTCAGAGCCCGGCCTGTCTGTTACCTTGCGGTAGGCATTGACTTCGGGAAGTTTGGGGAGCAAAGTGGTACATGAGGGCAGCTGGCTCAGAGCCCAGGCCAGAAACGCTGCAGGAAGGGGCCCTTGTCCCTGCAGAAAGGCGGAATCACCGGCGGGGCTACGCAGTGGAGGAAGCAAGGTCGTGTTGGGGTTGCCCAATGCCCTCCTGCCCCTGAGCTGATGCCCCAGCCTCTGCCCTGGATATATGCCCTTCCTCCACGTGATGGTGATGTCATTGGGAAGAGGAACTGGTATTGGTCTCTCCCTGAGACCCCGAGACTGGGGGTAGCACCACTTGTGTTTGGAGTGGATGACTCGGCCATTCCTTCAGCGCTGCTCGTTCACAGTTAGAGTTCAGATCCATATACTTAGCTCTTCACTCAACAAATATTTATCAAATGCCTCCCAAGTGCCTGGCACTCTTTCAGAGGCGAGGTTAGGCTTTATTTAAAATAGATTTGCCAGGACCCGGGGTGATAACAGAGACCAGAGTCTATTATATATCCGCTAGGAGCCAAATTTGTCACCAGGTCCTCAGCTATATTATTTCCAATTTCCACTCTAACCCAGCGGGCAGGACTTATGATCCAATTTCTACAGAGGAGTGAAGCCCCGTGCTCAAGGTCACCTGGCCCCTGAGCAGGTTCCAAATCCACCTTTGCCTGGCACGCTCTGCTCTCCACTGGGGTCCTCGCCCGAGACAGGACACTGACACTGCCTCCTCTCCGATCCTCATACCGACCTTAATGTCTGAATTACGCTCTCCCCACTTTCCAGAGGAAGAAATTGAGTCTTGGAAGGGCGTAGGTAACTTGCCCAAGGTTACGCAGATCGGAAGTGGTGACACTTGGGTCTCACTTTGCCCCTTGTCCCACCCTGCCTGCCACGCAGCTGCCTCCCGGTCAGGTCCCTTGGCCGATGAGCTCTGAAACCCCTTCCAGCACAAACAACCCCCAACTTCTCCATAACCTCAAGCAGAAAATTGGGAGTGTGTCTAGATCATTCAGATTGGTAGAAACTGGCAAATCTTCCCCTTCTACAAAGGTGTTTGTCTAAGTACAGTGTGCCTGCCCCCCGGTGGGGGGGTCCTTGCTCCCTCTCTCTGCTCCCCAGCTCTGTCGGGCCCAGCACCTCTCTGCTCTCCTTCACAGAACCCCTGTAGGCTCTGCAAACACTCACGGGCACGCAGGGCGACATGGTGACTGACACGAGCCAGGCCCCACGCCGCAGCATGCTTACTGTGCCCGTTGAGGTGGAGCGCACAGCAACCTGATGAAGGGAGGACACCTGCTAGTCATCGGTGGGTGAGCGTTATGCCGGGGACAGAGATGGGAGGTGGCATCAAAAGCCTGCGAACTTCCACGATGCCATCTTTGAGCAAAGGAGGGCGACCCCGCCAGATGGAAGTCACTGGGTCCTCATTCCTTTTCTGGAGCTGGCTTCCACCTTGTCTGTGGCCCCAGTGCCCACCCTCCTCCTCCAGCACCCAGAATTCTCCTGGGGACCATGACCATGAGAATGCCAGCACCCCAAAACAGGGGCTTTCCTTTGTGTTCCCTGGTGCTTAAACTACTGTCTGGTGCAGAGGAGGTGCACAAGAAAAACCGTATCTTCTTGAATACAAAACTGTTTATTTTAAGATGCATCCTTTGCTTCATCAACCATTTGTTGAAAAAGACTTTCCTTCCTCCCTTGAACTGCCTTTGCAACTTTGTCAAAAAATCAGTTTGCCGTACCGTGTGGGCTGTTTCTGGGTTCTCTCTTCTGTTCTATTGACCTGTGTGTCTGTTCCCCGACCAAGCACAGTCTTGATTCCTATAGCTGTACCTTGAAATTGGGTGGACTCGCTGCTCCCAC